AATCAGTTTTCTCTCTATTAACGAGATTTCCGATGAATTAGATCCCCTGCAAAACATGTTGCAGGCTATTTACCATGATCATGAATGGCAACAACGAAAACAGGAATTAAACAATAGATAAACACATGAAGAGAACAGTGAAACAAAACAAATCAAGAAACAATTGTATGATCACTACATTATCATAGGGTATTTGTCCATACAGGCAACAATATAATCATTAGCATTGTCATTACCAACTAGTATAGGCATTGTTATTGTCATGATATGTCATGACTATCTATCAGCTGGCACTCGTGGGAAATTACTGGTAATCGTCTTGGTATGATGATGTTCATTATTTCATTATCAGTTTCTATTGTGGTGTATGTATGAATTTATATATAAATATACATACATGTGTGTGTGTACACCTTGAAGCTCCGGAATCCATCACGAGTGAAATATATCATGCTATTGTGATCCATAGAGATACTCTTGGATTTGCTACAGGACCCCTCCCCCCCAAAAAGAAATTACTTTACTTCGTGTGATCCCCACCATGACATTTATACATTTTGTTACTGGCAAATCTTCTGGCATTCTATCTGACATATTTTCTGGCATTCGATCTGGCATTCTATCTGGCATATCTTCTGGCATTCTACCTGGCATATCTTCTGGCAGATGTTCTGGCATATCTTCTGGCAGATGTTCTGGCATATCTTCTGGCAGATGTTCTGGCATATCTTCTGGCATATCTTCTGGCAGATGTTCTGGCATATCTTCTGGCATTCCATCTGGCATTCTATCTGGCATATCTTCTGGCATATTATCTGGCAAATCTTCTGGCATTCCATCTGGCATTCTATCTAGCATATCTTCTGGCATATTATCTGGCAAATCTGCTGGCATTCTATCTGGCAAACATTCCGGCACTTTATCTGGCATATCTTCTGGCATTCTAGCTGACATTCTATCTGGCATTCTATCTGGCATACCTTCTGGCATTCTATCTGGCATATCTTCTAACATTCTATCTGGCATATCTTCTAACATTCTATCTGGCATATCTTCTGGCACTCTATGTGGCATATCTTTTGGCGTGGATACTCGCGGTTGAGGTCCGGCACGGAACACTGGGCGTGGATGGTCGTGGTTGAGGTCCGGCAGGGAACACTGGGCGGGGATACTCGTGGTTGAGGTCCGGCAGGGAACACTGGGCGTGGATGGTCGTGGTTGAGGTCCGGCAGGGAACACTGGGCGTGGATGTCGTGGTTGAGGTCCGGCAGGGAACACTGGGCGTGGATGGTCGTGGTTGATGTCCGGCAGGGAACACTGGGCGTGGATGGTCGTGGTTGAGGTCCGGCAGGGAACACTGGGCGTGGATGGTCGTGGTTGAGGTCCGGCAGGGCACACTGGGCGTGGATGGTCGTGGTTGAGGTCCGACAGAGAACACTGTGGATCGCGGGTCGCAGTTGGACGAGGAGGACGACAAGGAGGACGACGAGGAGGACGACGAGGAGGAGGAGAGGAGATGAGGAGAGGAGAGGAGAGGAGGAGCAGGCAACTGACATAAAATCTAACAACCCTCACCTGGCAGGTGGGGAAAAACAACCTTAATCGATTCCCCATTTCTAGTGGATGTACCATTGGGAAAATAAAAACATACAAAAACCATCTTCAGCACATCCCAGGTGCATCAATGATCACATGATCAGGGAGTGTTCCGAGCATGATGTTCGAAAGATGATGCTGGAAGCTGTACAGGCAAATTCAAGATAGTGAATATGTTCTCAGCTATAAACCTCCATTAATGGTGGATTTGTCTCCCTATATCTTCACATTAAATCCCATATTAATCACCATTGTGAACCATCATTAACAATAAGGTTTCCGCATTTAAAACCATGTTCAACCATTATAACCGTCGATAAATGGTGATAATGGGAAGGATTATTATCAACCGTTATTAACCATCATTAACCATTCTCTCTCTCTCTCTCCATCTTACTGATTATTAACCAATATCAACAATCATGATAATCTTTCCGCAACAGCTCCAAGGGTTACTAACAACCATCGTTAACAATCATTAACCATTGTCAACTATTATTGACAATTATTAACGACTGTCAAGGATTATTAGAATTAGTTCATAATGGTTGATAATGATCCTTCCCTTGGTTATTAAGCATCTTAATGGTCATTACCAACAATTATTAACAATCATTAACGATCATTAACCATTAATAACCATCATTAACCAATATTAAGGATTACAAAACACCACATTTCTTATCATTAACCTATTAACCACTATTAACCACTATTAACCATTAACCATCATTAACTACTAATGATTATTATCACGCCAAAGGGCGGAATGCCATTGGCTTCGCCGTCCAACTCCGCCAGCACCAAGTCCTGGCTGCAACGCTTTCGGCAACGGCATCTGATTTCATGGTGTTCCCATGGGGATCTCATGGTGATTCTTTGGGGTGCTTCCATGGGATTTAGTTGAGTTGGTACACGAACACCACGGAACTAAGCAAACATACGTGGATTTCACCAGTCATCATTGATATAATCTGATCATTGATATATATATATATATATTATCTGGTTGGTGGTTTTAACCATCTTGAAAAATATGAAAGTCAGTTGGGATGATTATTCCCAATATATTATGGAAAAATAAAAAAAAATGTTCCAAACCACCAACCAGTATATATTATTATATGTATATATAATCACAAGGAGAATCCTGGGACAATCTAGGCGGCGAAGTTGCTAGACATAACTAACAGAAGGATACATCAGGATTGGGTTTGTGGTAGATCTATCGAATTCTTTAATGATTTTAATGGGAGGTGCCACCTTACGGAACAAGATTAAACCAGTACTGATGGGATGTTCATGTGGATAATCATGGGATAATCAGCATTATCATTGGGTTGATTTAAGCAACAGCAATGGGTTGGTTTAAGGGCTTTTGCTACCAACAACATTTCATATCTGGTAAATGTCAAGTGCTTGTTTTTCTGATACGAACCCAATCCATCCAGTAAGTTGCCGGTGAGAATGGTGACTGGTCAAGGCATTGTGGAACCTCATTGTTGAAGGGTCCAACGCTACGGCTTTTTTCTTCCCAAATCTCAAGCGTCACCCAAAAACTCACTGCCAAAGAGAGGCTTAGAAGACTAGATCCCTCCCAAAAAGCATAGTGATTCAAAAAGGGTCTATGTTTGTTGGGGCAAAACAAACGCATGACGTATGGGGCATCTTGACCCACAGTTGCCAAGAGTCTCTCCCTTCATCTTGCATCCTTGGAGCTCAAGATGGTCCAAAAAAGTCACCAAACAGTCGCTTCCTCGTCATAAAAGTCTATGTCTTAAAAACGTGGATCCACTCATAGGGAAAATGAACATGTTCCAAATCTGCAAAATTATCAACAAAGGTCAACATCTCAGTAGATTCCCCATGTAACTTTCATGGAACATGGATCAGTGGCGACCAAAAAATCATGGATCAACGAAGCGTGGCTCGCTGCGAATCCAAGGATCTTCTGGGCGAAGTCTTCGTAGATGGGAGCGAGCCTTTTTTACGTGGAATTCAACGTGGCCGGCCAACGTGGCCAACCACGGTGTCGCGAAGATATCTGTTGGGATAGCGGTGGTTTATCGATTGGATCAAGGGATGCTATCCATGATGCATAGCGCTTTGTGGTAGAGCCGCATCCATGTGACGTGTGTATGGACACATGAGTCAGAGTGTGTAATGAGACTGTGCAATGGTATGTGTAATTACATGTACATAAATTATGTAATTATGAAATTCAGATTTCAAGATTTGCGAATGGAAAACCGCAAACCCAATCGCCACTGGGGTAGGTTGGGATATGAGGATGCAACTGCGTAGGCGCTGCCGCCAAGCAGCTTCTTGCAGTGTCCACACCAGGGAGCATAGACCTGTCAGGTCGTGCTTGGTTCTGTCACTCAAAAGTGGTAGATCAACCCACCCCCAAAAGCGCCAAAAAAAAGATCTGTAATATATGGCCATAATCCGCTTCAGCCCTCCAAACAGGAAACACTTCTTGTACATCTGGCCAACTCGGCTCATATTGCTGGCACGATCCAACAAAAGCAACTGGTAACTGGGAACTGTCCAACTGATACCCTGTTGAAGGCATCCCCGTAGCCGAGTAGTCTTTGGGGTGTGTACCCTGAAAAAATTACTACCTCTACATGTTGCTCACGTTCTAGTTATTTATTTCATCTTATTATTTCTGTGTATTTCTAGCTTGTGTTGACAATGTCCCCATCGGCCGTTCAGAAACAAAGATGTACAATGCATGGACCCCAACTGAACTGGACCATCATGGCATCTGAACATAGGGTAGCCCTTTCCATCCCAGCCCATCCACTGGTTCAAAGCAATCCCATCCCATCACATCCCATGTCATCAGATCAGATATCATCCAATATAGATTGCTTACACGTATTGAGTTAAAGCATGTTAAACCATGGTTAACTTCCCCCATTGTTCATGCTTGAATCCCTATTTCGACCTTTTTTTCCGCACCTTCAGCATGACGTGTTGTCCTGGCACGTGTTTTTCCAAGGTCATTTGGGATATATATTTTACGTTTCGATAGGTTTGGAGGTTGCTATCAGGTGATGACACCACTTAAACTGATGCAGCTGGACCTAGTAAGTTATGTTGTCACCATTTAGGGGTTTTGAAGTGGCAAAGTTCAGGGGTTCAGCATGGCTGAGCGGCTAAGCGGCATTCAGGGCATTAAGATTACTTTGAATGCCCTGGCTGACGAAATTCAAGTACGAGCACCTGGAATTTCAAGGCTGTGTTGACCAAACTGGAAGCTAACAAGCAAGAATGGCCACTTCAGTGGCAAGATCGTCTTCCGGACCCGGTTTACATTTCCAAACACACACTGCTCGAGCAATTGTAAAATCCTCCTGGTTCTCCCCTCAAAATGATCCAATATGCCGAAAGCGAGGCTATCCAGCCAAATCAACCATCCAGGGACCGGTTCTATAAGCTCCTCGGGCCAGGGGTGCATAGAGCACCTGCCTAAAGTTGGCGCCAACAACAGTGAGCACCGGACTGGTCTGTTCCTGGGACGGAGCTGTTGTGGGCCGTGCTTTGGGGGTGACGTTCCACTTCCTTGGGTGGGTGTATGGCCACTTTATAGGGGTTACAGTATATCATCTGAACTTATGGAGGGCTGGAACCATGTCAAGTCCAGTCTGATTTGTGAAAAATGACATGGGTTAAGCACCCAAAAACATGTCTTAGAACCGGCCAGGTCAACCTAGACCAGCATAACTCTTAGTACAATAGCCCTTCTGTGATGCCGATATTCCTACTTGTGATGAACATTGTTCATCTGAAATACCCAGAAAATTAGTGGTTACCCCTGCAGGAATCTGATATGATTCGCTGGTATACCTGGTAGACGGATTCACCAGAATGCCATGTTGGAACACAGTGGGTAGATGTGGCTGTAGGATGGTCTAGACAGGCCGGGATCGGTAAGGGATGGTAGCCCAACGCCAAGAATTCCGTGATTCTATCAGTCCTATCACCCGGGCGCCATATCAAACAGGATCGCCTGAACTGTTGAAAAACTCCACCGCGCTCTCCAAACGCACCACATTCAAAATCATGTGTGTTGTTTGTATCGCTGTGTGTCTCAAAGCCAATTTTCACGTGTATCCTCAGTATTGAGTGGAGAACGCACCCTAGCAATAAAAGTACCCTGCAAACAAGTTATTACTCCATGAATGCCTTAAACATTCAGTAAAACCGCAAGTTTGTTGATCAAATCCCATTTCGTTTGATACGTTACCCATGTTGCTTCGCAATGGATCCTCAACAAAATCAACAAACAGAAACATGTTGAAGACGTTTCTCCAGGATCTTAATTCAATTATGTTTTAAAAATTCCACATTATCCACATTTCCTATCCAAAAAAAAATGGTGCTTCTATCTGCTTGGTGGCTTTCACCCATCACAACAAAATCCTGGTCATCTCAGCCAATCATCCCAAGTATGCCTGAAAAAAAGCAAAAACAGTTGGAACATAATATATTGTTTGATTGTATGGGTTTGTTTGGCCAAAAAAATGATACTGTACCATATGTTATCCAATGTTTTGAAACCTTATTGTTCCCCAAAAAATGCAATTCTGCGGCTAATAATCATGCTCATGTCCATCATCTTCATACATTTCCCACACATTTCCCAACTTTTTCCATCTACAAAATGGCCTTGCGAAGCATTCATCAACTCCCTGCGACGACGCACCACGATCCTGAACTCATCTCCAAGATGCTGCTGGAATTGGTGCAGAGCGCACCAATTGCTCTGCGAGCCAAAGCGAAAGTTCATCCTTGTGTGGACCAATTGCTGCAACGAAAAAGCCAAAAAGCCCCAAAAACGCCAAAAAGGTACCTTTTTTTAAGAGTCAAATTGGCTAGATCGGTAAAAAACAAAAAACAGCAATGCGTTGGCCCCTCGTGGTAATGATCTAACCATAGGTTCTGAGGTGACGATTATAAAGTGCACCTTAAATTAAACGTTCCTTCAATCATACCATCCTGGTGCGGTGCCCGCCCAACAAAAACTTGGAATTCACCAGCGAAAGTGATGATTTTTCAGCGAGAATCATGATCCAACCATCTGGAAACGGGGATTTTTTTCCAACCGAAAATGCAAAAGTGGGAACTCACCCTCCAAAATTCAATGGGATGGAATGACTATATAATCAAATATTAAGCAGTCTATAATCCTTTCGCTCTGCTGACGGCTATACAGCCTAAAAGAATCTTGGTAAACCATCAATAAATTTGTCTATATACGTCTATACATGCGTCATTTATATTCATTTATCTATAACGCCAACCTCACGTGAATTTTGATGTTGACCCTTATTGATTAATTACAACAATCTAGGCGCCAGCCCCTCGAAAACTTATGCCATTTGCTACTAAAACGATATCCCCCAATGCCGACTGCCTGGGGTTGAATAAAAATCCGGGGGTTGACATTGTAGAAAACCCGTTTCCCGGAAAACAAAATACTGATGTACAAATTACAACTGGTGGGTCTTCCCTGTGTTCATTATTGTTCATGTGCTTGTGGGAAGAATGCCCCAGATCCATACTTGAATCTTCATCCCAGTAAGTAGTAAGTACCCTCCAGTAAACGAACATAGCCATGGAAAATCAACATTTTTAGTGGCTGAATCATCCATTTTATCAGCCATTGTCCATAGCTAGGTTGGGAGGTTACCTGTGGAATCCTTCGTGCAGCATGTATTTCAACCGGCAGCCAATGCTGTGGAGAGGCTTTGGAAAACTTGCCAGTCTGATCGTACCTCATTCCGGCAAGGTTTACCTTGCAAAACCACCTCTAAAATCATAGTGCTACTGGGGTTTAGAAGCATTGCAAGTGGTTGTAAACAACATTAAAATTGCAAAACAGAAGCCTACACAAAGCAGTACGTAGTAGACATCACTTACTGTGTGGATCAATCAATGGTCAACCACAAGAACGTGAAGTTTATTTGCCCCGCACTGTAAAATTACACCGTAAGGAGCTACTTACTGTCATGATCTGGACAAAGCATGCTAAAGTATGCTAAAGTATAAGACGATCCCATCATGACCCATCCCAATTTGCCATGATTTTTCTCGCAGTTCGACGAGTCCATGATCGCAAAGATAGGATCCAAATAAGATGCTGAACCTGGATCCATCTGGATCATCGTCCCCAATCTGAGATGCTCAGCATATAATCAGTCTATGTATTCACATGAGCACACCAACACACACGCACACATTTGCATAGATATATAATGATATATACTATATAGAGAGAGAGAGAGAAAGGGAGAGTTTCTTTTAGATGTACCCGTGCCTATATATATATAATTATATATATATATATTAATGCACATACTCCTACACAGAACATAAATGGATGCACTACACAATTTCGCATCTCAAGGATGACCATGGTGTAAACCCGGCAACCTGAAACTCCAGTGATCGTCGGCCCAGTGGCAAAACGTCACTCTTGCCGCTAGAGCGTGGCCAGATCAGCCGCAGGTTTTCGGGTTCCTGGCATCTCATTGCATGAAATCTGGGGGTGTCCTGCACCTTTTCCTAGAAACCAATTCTGAGAATTGCAAGGGAGTTAGCCAAGATAATATAATGATTATGTATGGTTTTCATATGTTTAATGTTGGATAGTGGGAAAATCAATGAAAATCATATGTCTATGTGGGTTGAAACCACCTGCCATGACTTACTTTGGCAGGATATGGCAGGACGTAAAACATTGTAAACATTCACAGATTCCGCCATTTACCCACAGGAACAAGAACAAATGCTGAACAGAATAACTTACCCTTTGTTTATTTAACATAGCTATTGAAAATGGCCCATTTATAGATGATTTTCCCATTAAAACCTCCATTTATAAGGGATTGTCCATGGCTATGTTAAATAACCAGATGGTATATAAGCATGACCGTTTCGCCAGGCAATGTTTAATCCATCCAAGAAAGGACATGCACTGCTGTGAATAGCTGGTTCATCACCAGTCCCCTGAACTCTTTTGGCTAACCAATCCATGGCGTTGGGGAAGGCATGGCTGCAGATGGTTTTTCTCTGAATGGATGGGATATCCCATGATTCGCCGATGACGGTGGTATTGTCAAACAACGCCCCCAACAAAGCTAGGGGGTCAAAGTGCAATACTTTTCCTTTTCGATTTCCTGGCTTTGAAAGTGGCTTGAGTTCATCCAGTGAACTAAAAAATCGTGGTCATTTTTGCACACTTTTCCGCACCGCTTTGGGCTTGCTATAAGCTCTATTGAAATGTATTGAAATTTGAAGTAGTTGCCAATTTCTGGGATGCATCATGATATACTCAAGTTCCAAGCACTAACACCAGCAGAAGAACATACATGACTCCCTGGAATCTCGACCTTGATTTCCGAAGATTGGTGACCTCTATATTCGACTCTATATACTTGGATCTGATTGTGACCGGATGGATCATCTCAGGCAACAGCAACAAACCATACCACCTGGCACTTTAACGCAGAGATAAAACATGACTGTTTTCCATGGCTATGTCAGCTACGTTCAATTACGGAGAGTAAAATGCCACAGCCACAAGACTGCATCTTTTTTGAGGGAGCCCAGCACATTCGTTTCGTTTTTGCTATTGGTTAAATTAGATTTAGATTCATCATTTGGAGAGATCCATGGGCAGTCCATCTCCCTATTAATTTATATATTTCAGGATAAGTATACAATATCTACAGCATATCTACATGCAGCCAGATTATGTAGCATAGATATATCAATGGCATTCAATAGTTTAAACATGTTTAAACAAACAAATGCAGTAGATGGACAAACTACATTCAAACTGCCGTTCCCCAAAATAACACAGACCCAGCGAAATAGTGGGTTGAACGCCTACATTCCTCTAAAGAGGAGATAGTGCTTCTCGGGGGCTATGTCATGCCTTCCTGTATCCTGGGTGTAACATTATGTCGTGCCTCTTTATCCTCTTCGTTCGAAAATGTCATTAAATATTAAGAGCTATAATATGGAAAATCCTACAGGAAACACCCATAGTTCACGAAGACTCACATGGCTGACTGCAAGATTCTCTGGTAAACTACGAGGTTGCTATGGAAAATAGGTGAATCAACTGTAAATGGCAAATTTTGATAAATTTTGCTCACATAAGCCGTCAATGTTGTATATGTACTGTAAAAAACTGACCATTTTCTATGGCTATATGATATTAATATGTTACTTTACCTAATCGGGTAATCTGCCTTTCTGCTTTCACGCAGAAGTGGCAGCCGGCCTCCAACGCTTTGGCGACCTTGGCGACCTTCACCTGGAGCCCGAATCGTCACCGCTATGGCTATAGATGGTGCATGGAAATCACTTCATTTACCCTCTGGTTATGACTAACAGTTCGCCATGGTATAGATGGCCCTAACCGAAATAGATGGCTTACGGTTCTTAAAAATGGGTGGTGATTGTCCACGGCGAACTGTTAAATAACCAGATGGTATCACTGGGTTTATCTGATTTACATTTAAGAAATGGTGTTCCAGAGTTTTTTGTTAGATGATCAAAGGGTACGGTAGATCTAATACATGTCAATCCCAAACCAGGATTTCTAGGGGTGGCAACAGGGATGGCAACCTGCAGTCCCTTGGGAGACTGGGACCATCTGGGACCATCTGGGACCCCTCAGCGCAGCTTCCGATCTGAGCTCAGCCACCCTACAATGCGGTGCCGTGATAGCCCTCAGTGAAATGATTCTTGGTTTATGTTAGCCCCACTAGTTTTGACACATCCACCATAAACCCCAACAAAAATTTGCCCAGGTATGTGCCCAGCAACTCGGCAAACACTTTTTTCGGGCACCAATGGGCACCACAAATTGTCCATTATAAGTATATTCCACTACGGCCATTACATTCCATTAATATCCCATGGTAATCCCAATTTATGGCTGGGAAAGAACACCGTTCCAATGATCTAATGGAGCTTTGAGATCTACATCCAGTACATCATGTTGATTTTCATGTGGGAAACCCAATGCCACAACCTACCCTTTGTGGATGGTTTATAAAACTCATTGATGATGATTTTTGGGATGATTTATGAAATTGAATTTACCACATTACCCACTGGTAAACGTTTACATAACTATGGAAAATCAGAATTTTTCATGGGTAAATCAACTACAAATTCTATAAATGACCATTTTCAATAGCTATGTACACGTCTTGATCAAGAACATCCCTCCCGCTTCCAGCTGGGCGACCTGTTGTCTAAAGGACTCCGCCACCTGGACACAGTTGGGCACTGGGATGAAGGATGAAGTATAAACCAATGAAAATAATGGAGAATATGGGATATGGCAGTGTGTCAAAACCTTGTACCCCTGGTGAACATCAAAATAGCTGGTAAATGGATGTTCATCCCCCTAAAAATGATATTAATAGGTATTGATCCATACCCATATCTATGATATCATGGGATATACTGGGATATAAGGATATCATGGACACTATGTTCTTTTGGTTTGGGAGAGCATCCCACTTCCGTCTCAAAGACGTTTGTAGCCTGGGGTTGTGGCCATGGCCGAGTATGCCGGAGACATCCCAGGCTGGGCGTGTGATGTGTACTCTACCAAGCAGCTCTGGTTATCCCAAGAGTTGCACATACTGTCATCCATTATTGGAGTATCGATCATTTTAGAGTGTCGATCAATTTTTGGATCTCCCAATCAACTCTGGTTATCCAAATTGATTTGAAACCATCAGCCATCCTTTGGAGGGTCGATCGTTTCACAGCTGTGTTCCTGGCGGCCTTTGCTTCAGGCTAAAGCAGTGAAACTGCAGAGTTTTCCAGCTATTTCCAGCCACATGTTCTTGTGCACAGTGGAATGCATCCCAAGTTAAGCTTCCAATTGGTGGCCGAATTCTTGCCATGTGGGAACCTCTGGGGGATGCCATTTGGATATAGGAAAAACTATAGCTAATAGTTATGATATGTTATGATCATCACAAGCCCTCGTGAAATCCCATCAAAGTCCATTAAGTCATGATTTTTCCGGTGTGGCTGTGGCATATCGCAGAGGTAGCGCCGACGCCTCCAGAACTTCGCTGAAGGTCTCTGCCCCGGACCACAGCAGCACCGGCTTCGTGACGGCAAGGGCTTGGGCTACCTCAAGTTCATCCACTTCTGGAATAGCATGGGGATAAAGTAACAAGCACCCAAAAGGGGATGTGTTCATGGTTGTAAGGCAATTATACTTTTACCTATATATATATATATTATTATTATTTTTTTCAACAACTTGGGGGTGCAGTTGGGTTGTTTGTCATATGTGGTTATAACAGGGGGTGCAGTTGTGGCTGTTATAACAGGTATAACCATGGGATTTTAACCCGCATCAGTTTTGATATAACATGACATAAGCCCTATATATTAATATATATCTCTCCATCGCCTTCTCTATATATACCAATGTTTTTTCCCACTTATGACTGTAACTGCACCCCACTTGGTGGGGATAAAAAGAAGCATCTGAGGGGTATTTGATGGGATGATGTTGAAAAATGATGAAGAACGAGTGCGAAAAAAGTAGCCAATCAAATTATACCAAGATTATTTATATTACAAACCTACTTGTTCATAGTCCATAGTTGAAGGGTATATGACGATGTACGGTATAACCCAAGTTATTTCTCGGAATCCACAACAAAGTATCAGTTCTTCGCCCAGGCCGCCGTTTGAAAGTGCATCTTCCAGGTCTACTTAGATGGGCCAGAGGACAAACCGCATAGCTGGACTTTACTGCTCAACAACCAGTCGATGAAATACCAATAAAACATCCATTTTCCCTAAACATTGAGGATCATTGAGGCATGTTTTATTGACAATGACTAGTAAGAATCATTAATAATCAATTGTTCAATCGATATTAAAAAAAAAAAAACGGGCTACCCTCCAGTAATCAAAGCTGGCCTGGCAGTGGGAAACCGTAAAACCCCGGCGGAAAAATTGAGGTTTATAGCTGGGAAGATCATCGAACTAAATGGCTTATTTTCCAGCAAGCCATGTTTGATTACTGGAAGGTGTATTCCATGAATCAAAAACAATTAACCAATAATCATCATCAACAATCATTAAACCATCATAATCCCCTGATTGTTCCATGATTGTTTGGTGTTATAACAATTACCCTCTGGTAAACTAACATAGCTATTGAAAATCACAATTTATAGTGAGTTTTCCCATCAAAAATTGTGATTTTCCATAGTTATGTTAGTTTACCAGAGGGTAACCATTACAAAAAAGATCAATATCCGAGCGAATCCCTCAACCCATCTCCAGCGCCTCAAGAGTTTGCACTTCCTCCACCAGCGGAGAGCTCTGCGCCTCCAAGAATTCCAGCAGTTGGTCCCTGCCGGGGCCTCCCGGATACCTGAGATTCATCTGGGTAAATTATAATATTTCACCAACCTGAATTGTTGGGACATTTGGGGATGATTTCCCTTATTAACCATGATTCCAGTGAGGGAGAACAGTGAGGTCGTTATAATTTACCCAGAGATACCCCAGAGTCATTGCGATTCATTGAGATTCGGGGTCCCAAAAAATCCTGAAAGCTGGTGATTTGATGTTCGTTTTGCAGGGGTTGTTCAACTGCTAACATGGATCTATTGAAAGTTAGGCCAGTCTGGACATCTCACCGCGTTCACCATAGTTCACCGAATTAGGATCTCTTCGACATGGCCAAGCGGGCCAAGTCCAAGGCGTTTCCAGACTTGACTTCTTCGGATGTTTGCTACTTACAAGATAGGTGATCAAGGTGGAAATCATGTTCAAGGATATGACCAATGCTGATTTGTGGGAATGATGTGGATATATGCGGATGACCGGATGAATGAAGCAATGTTGTGGCTTACAATCCCCAAATGATTCAATTCACCAGTGATTCATCCCGACTTTTTGGCATCAAATCTGTTCCCATTTAGATGTAATGGCATCCCCACCATTTTCCACCACCCCGTCTCCGAGGCTCTTCTCCAAACGACCATTGGCCATGTAGAGCACTGTGGGATATTTGTCCTTGGCTGGAACAATTTAGCGTGTAAGAGAAGAAATTCCCAGTCAAATGGGCCCAAAAACTAAAAGTAGACTGAATATGACTGAATATGACTGAATGGGCTTCTCCGAAGATGTCAGAAGAACAACTGACAACAAAGTAGCACAAAAATGAAACTGTTTAGAGAACATGATGATACACCATGTCGTTTTTTAGCGTTCCAATTTTGGAGACAACCCCGTATGGCTATGGATGAAGTTATTCAATGGACCGACAAAATATGGATCAATGATAGTTATTTTATATAGTACGAGATGACAATTTTGGCCCATTCCCATATTAAAGTCCGGTCATCGAACATGGGATAGCTGGAAGGTTTGAGTTTTTCATCTAAATCACCAGCCTGGCTGACCATTCAGGATCTTCCACAGTTGCACTTTCATGAGGGTCTCAAGACGTAAAAATCAGAGGTCCCAATCATCTTGGGGTTATCATGGCTACCCTCTGGTAATTTGACATAGCTATTGAAAATACCACATTTATAGTTGATTAGCCTATTCAGAATGGTGATTTTCTACAGCTACGTTAGTTTACCAGAGGGTAGTGACCAGTCTTGAAAATACTCAGCCAAGAGTTGGTTTTCTTTTGCATGGCACTATGTTCCTCCATCCAATGGCACCCTAGTTCAAGCAGCTTCTAGAAAGATGTCGAAAAGTAAACAAAAAGAAAAGGCATCAAACAAGAGTGGCCAATGATGATATATTTACAATATATTTGCCTTATAAATCACCTTATCATGTGGGGGGGTACTACAACCCATCTTTTGTTTTTTCAACTTTTACCAGTCGTTTGCCCAGGCCCTTCGTCCCAAGTGGCAACGCCATGTTTGTTGCAGGACCTCTCGCCTTCTGCCGTGGAGCAATCCTCAGCCCCCAATGGATCGGAGAGGATGAGAATGGAATCCCCATCTGCTTGTAAGATTGGTGGTTACCCTCTGGTAAACGTTTACATAACTATGGAAAGATCCACCATTTTTCATGGGAAAATCCACTATTTCGACTGGGTCATTTTCAATAGCTATTTTGACATAACCAGAGGCTATCAGGTTGTACCCAGGGATTTCACCAAATCAAAAGATCAGATTTGGGTTATTTTCATTGATGGGAATGATGGGATAGGAGTGGATCTAATGGGATACTAAACTTAAGCAGGATATAATGAGAGATATCTGGTGCCCCTGTTTGTTGGCTTAGTTGATTAGCATGATTGGGCAAATTCTAGGGCTTATGTTAGCTATATCTCCATAGTTTTTAGATTGTAGGTGAATCACGCGCATGATGCATAAATACATACATATAATCATATATATGTAAATAAATTATATATATAATTATATATATATATATAATTATATATAATAAATTATATATATAATTATATATATATACATAAATGCAGCAGAAGTTTCTACTTCAGTTCTGCCACTTCACATCCCATTTTGCAATAAACAACCTTCCCCCATCTGCACAACCGCCAGGTCATCCGCCCAGGCGCCATACGCGCCAGCGTGAAGGTCTCAGCCTTGCGGGCCGCGCTTTCGTAGCTGGGGGCGAACTTCTTGCAGGCGCCACAGCTGGGACTGTAGAACCTCGGCAACAAACGACGAGGTCAATGGGGCCACATGGATTGGTTGGAAAAATTACAGGAAACCCTCGGAACCCCCCATATTTCATGGGAAAATCTATGGTTTAAGCGGTAGATTTTCCATTAAGCCAATCCATTGATCATTTCTAAATTGGAGGTACCTACCATTTAGGTACCTACCATTTTGTTAACGGCCCTTTTTTAGGGCTAGGTTAAGGAAATATGCCCCAAAGATATATATGATTTTATATGGTACAGTACCTCCATGTCAGGGTTTCGCAGGGAAATCAAGCTACTCCAAGCTCTTTCAACGGATAGCGAAATTGGAATATTATATCTGAAATAAGAACCTATAGGCTATACCCTCTGGTAAACTAACATAGCTATTGAAAATGGCCATTTATAGTGGATTTTCCCATTAAAATAGTGATTTTCCATAGCTATGTTAAATTACCAGAGGGTAGGGTCTAGGAAAACTATGACCACAGTTCATTGGATTAGGCTTCGGTTTTACCTTTCACCTTTAAGAATCGCTAATAATAATATGTCTATATTTGGAATTCACTTGGAACCATTGAGTGGAATGAAAACTAAAGATAGAATGGGGATAGAATAACACGTTTCACTTGGAGGACTCTATGGTTTATGGCAAATATAATTCTATAGATAGCAGATGTTTGCGGGGTGTATAATCCAACCTACAATTCTTGGGGCACCATTTTGTATCTGCTTAGGAACCCATGTGATCTCTAGGTCTAAGTGGTTTCTCTGACCTAGAACTAGGTTACACCATGTTATAACCCTGCTAGCTTGTGGTGTTAAGCCTTCGTCATGGCCACCAAAAACATTCCCCCAAGAGTGGCTTGATTTATCTACCCATATAACGGGGGCATAAGATGGGAATCAAGCGCTGGATTTCACAAATTTATGGCTCCCAACACATATTGTATGACTATGTAATGAGGATTTATGGGGATATTATCCCACAATAGTGGTATATGCGTATATGACCCTGGGGGAGATATACAGTACATACAACAATGTCGTGCCCCACTTGTCTAGCCAAGTTGCTACCAAAAATATTGAATGGGTTATTCCTAGATTCTGGTCCCCGTTGTTGTGGCTTGTATAATCATGATTAATTCATATATGGTTTGTTCTGATGTTACCGGATACGAATTTAACCAACAACAAAAAAACATTTAATCAAGAACAACAATGTGGTTTTAATCGGCAATTGTTTGATTCTATGAGATAATGGTTGTATCATGGTATAAGCCACAAACCATCTGTGAAGAATCCCATCCTCTTAAGATTAGCTACACCCATTCCATATTTCCCAAATATGTGGTTTCATTCCCTCCTTCCACCAGGGTTTCTGCGGGGTGTTTCATACGAACAGTTGAAGGGATTGCTTTACTATAACCAATCTCGCTTATATGAGTCGTAAATCCCACGAACTTCCTGCACTATGCTAATGAAATCCTATAAAATCAGATATGCAACATCCATCAACATATAAAATCCTGTAAAATCCCATGGATTTCCTCCATCTTCCCATTACCAGGGCATGGTCGCACCAAGAAGCTCCATGAAACCCGTGACCTTCCGCTCCAAGAGCTTCCTCAGAGGGATTGGTTTCTTCATCGGCATGGTGAGGTGTAGCCGCAACAAAACTCGTCTTGACATTTGGACAATGAGATTTTCATGCATATGCAGATACATCTATCTATCTATCTATTTATCTATCTATCTATCTATATATATATATATTGGATCATATTAGCAGATGTGTGTAATATGTGCGTATACAATCGTATGGATGAAAATAAACGGTGACCCATGATATGGGGATCAGTAATTAAGCTAGGAGATTCTTCATCATAAACCAGCTACTGACTGGAATGAAGACCCACGTCAGGATCATCCTGGACGTCCAGAACTCATGAGGTTGCCTATCCTTTCGTGTGTCACCCAAACCTCCTGCATATTTCACGGTATTTGGCAATAATGATGGTCTTAATATGTCTTAATATGTCTTAATAATGATATATATAACGATCATGATAAGTAGTACTAGCAATAAACATTGTTATTATTGTTGTTAATTATCATTCTTACTGCAAAACTAAACGTGCTTTTTCTGGGATCTGGCCGTTTTACGAGAAATTCAGCTGAAAAGAACATCTGCCAAACTTGGCTTCATCAAATGGAACGAATCTATGAATCTTGGCAACCAGCTAATAAGACCCCAGATAGATCAGATAGGAACTGGAGAAGAATCACAGCTGGGGATGTTTCATATTCGCCATTTAGTACTTTGGTATACTTTAGTGATTGATCCCAAGCTGCTTCCCCCCCCAGTTTTGCTGCACGGCCCAGTTCTTCAGCGATCACCTGAACATCTCACTACTTACTGGTGATTTCCATCACAATTTTGCTTCATCTTTTAAGTATGCCATGAAATAGATCCCAAATGATTGACCAATATTAAGCCATTAGTAACCAACAACCAACATGGTTAGTTCATTAATAATGATAAGATCATTCTTGACCAACATTAAGCCCCTATGAATCTCCCAACCTTATGTAATCTTATACCCTGCGACCAGGCGTCTGTAGATCCTTCTCATTGAACAGGTCAAGCACCTCTCAGCTGAGGATAACCGGGTTGAGGCTCTGAAGTTTGAGAATGGTTTAGCACTGACAAAAATCGAACACCGGGTGCTTCTTTTCGGGGGTAATATGGAATATATAGTGGTAAATCATTCATAAATATTGCAAATATTTGCAAATCATGGGAAAATCGTCAGTATGATGGTGATATCAAGGGAAACTGTTCTGGGAATTACCCTCCAGTCACCCCAAAATAGATAAGAATAATCCAGAATTAAATCTAGCTCATGTCCGGAGAAAGCCATTGATTCCCATGGAAATTTTCATGGAAATCCTGGATCTTAGGCCGGCCCCATGACTGGAAGAGACTGCCATCCCAGATCATATCATCGGACGTTTCTGTCAACCGGGGATGGGTACCTCTAGATACTCGAAATCATCCATGGGCAAAAAAAAAAGGTGAAATCTCCATGTTCCATCTCCATGTTCCATGGGCTTTCAAGCATGTTACCCTCTGGTAATTTGTTACATAGCTATTGAAAATAGCCATTTATAAGTTGATTTCCCCATTAAAAATTGTGATTTTCAATAGTTTTTTGTATGTTTACCAGAGGGTAACACCGTTCTTCACCGTTTTCCAAGGGCCGCATCTCCACGTGCCCCGTTGGGGCCGCCCAGATTTTTCCCAGGCACTGCGGAGGTCTTCTGTCGAAACGCCAGGCCCTCACCCGGCAGATACTCCGCCGGCACATCGAAGGCCTCGCTTGCTGCGTCAGGCTTCTGGATTTGCCATAGATTAATGATGGTTGATATATGATTAATATATGGTTAACCACTATTATATCTGATCAATGGTGATGGTTTTAGTATGTTATCAATGGTGATTCAATGGTGATTCAATGGGATTTAATGGGGCATAAACCATTTATTATGTGGTTAAAACTGTGGTTAATATATGTTAATATATGGTTAATATATGGTTAATATATGGTTAACCACTATTATATCATATTATATCAACCATTACTATATATCTGATCTGGTTGGTGGTTGACCTACCCCTCTGAAAAATATGAGTTCGTCAATGGGAAGGATGACATCCCATATATGAAATGGAAAAAAAATGTTTGAAACCACCAACCAGTGATCTGATCTTGGAATGTTCTATTTCTCCAGTTATATTTTTTGGGGGTCACTGATCGCCGCTCATTCCATGGCCCTAAATAGGAGGTCCCCAGATCTTGGAAGATAGTCCCTATGGCATGAGGAACGTGACGACTGGTTAGCTCCCAGCTCCGGTGAACAGAACATCTCCAACTAATCTGAAGTAAGCCAGCTGGATGTATGGGACATAACCATAGCCCTCATATAGTAGCCACTACTATGAATGGGGTTCTGACATGTTGTTTTTTCCACGTCACTTGGCCATTCCCTTGCTGCGTAGTCGATGTTTTCAAAAACGACCCATCCTGTTGGTTTACATCACCCCGATGATGATGTACTTCGACATATCTACCACAAACCCAAATCCAACGGACATTGGCGCTTCCACCCTCCCGTGTCATCAAACATGGCCGGGAAATGTTCGAACTAAATGAAGGTTTATTGCTGCGAAAATCGAACTCAATGGGCAAGTTCCAGAAAACTATGTTTGACTGACGGATGGTATTCCCATTCATTCCCACTATATTCAATGGAATTTCAGGATCCTAAAATGGAGGTACTGTACCATATAAGGCCATATTTTGTGGGGATATTCCCTTACATAGGCCTTATATAGGCCTTATATATGGTAGGTACCTCCAATTTAGGTTCCTGAAATGGCCATTGATATATGGGTGAACAGATCCCCATGTGAAGGGACCTCCTGGATTACATGACAGCAATATGAAAATAACTTCCCATATATGGTGCCCGTTCCTCCATACCCTAATCTTCCAAAGCAAGTCAAATTAAAGTATATGGTGCGATTGAAAGCTATAATGATTAATACCTAGTCTGCAGCTTGTCAAGCCATTTTCAAGCGTTTTGGGCTACCTGGGTTCTATGGAAATCAATAGTCGTTCTACGCTTTGAAATGTCCCTTCTACGGAAATAAATGTGTGTTCTAATTACGGTGTGTCTACGATTTTTTCCGACCACTTCCAACCCCTGATCAAAAAAAGTCAGAGTCGCCACGTATTCCTTACCTGGAGGGACGTAAATTCGACAATCGAAGAAGAACAGGGCATATATACACCTTTATATTCCATCCCCATTTCATCATACATGGCAATGGAAAATCCCTTATCATTATATAATATTATATAAATGAATTTCCACTTGAAGCCTCCATTTGTATAGAGGATGTTCAATTATCATGGTTTGATTACTGAAGAGTCATTCCATTCATGACCGTTACCAACCCTTAATATCCCTTAATCATTAATCGCCATCATTGACCATATATGCCCATCCATATCCCATCAATATCCCATCAATATCCCATATGATGCCCACTAATATCACATTTTGTTTAAACATGGCAATGGAAAATCCCTCTAATTCAGAACATGTTTGGATGTTCAATTGCCATGGTTGATTTCTCTTTCGGGTAATTCTATGAATATCCGATGGTGATTTAATATATTCCAATGGGATATCATATTCAAAATATGTATTCCAACGGCAGAATCATTTCATGTCAACCCCGGATTAATAAACCATGGTTTATTAATTAGGGGGGTACTCCTCCAATAGTCATTATCTGATACTTAAATGGTACCCTCCCAATTAAAGCCTAGGGGTTTATTAATCCAGGGTTGACATTATTCTCTCTCTCTCCATCGCCATCTGGTTGAAGTTCAGCAAAATGCCATGCACCATTTCATGGGTCATTAAATGTCCCCATTGAACATCACCCAACCATTAGGTATATGGTCTATAATGGCTACTATAAGGTGATGTCCAATATTCCCAAAATGGGACAGTTACCAACCCCTGCATTTTATCCCCATCTTCACTGAATCTTCACCCGCCCCAGGGCCCCGCCGATCGGCCCTGCGGCTGCGCCTTCCGCCTTGACTGTTCCAGGACCCAGGGAATGATCTGATTGAGGCTGCCTCAGCTACATCCCACTGGTGCATCAAGATTTTGGTGCAAACAAATGGGAATTTCATGGGAATTTCATGATGATTTAATGATGATTTAATGATGATTTAATGATGATTTAATGATGATTTAATGATGATTTAATGATGATTTAATGATGATTTAATGATGATTTAATGATGATTTAATGATGATTTAATGATGATTTAATGATGATTTAATGGGATTTAATGGGATTTAATGATGATTTAATGATGATTTAATGATGATTTAATGATGATTTAATGGGATTTAATGGGATTTAATGATGATTTAATGATGATTTAATGATGATTTAATGATGATTTAATGATGATTTAATGATGATTTAATGATGATTTAATGATGATTTAATGGGATTTAATGGGATTTAATGATGATTTAATGATGATTTAATGATGATTTAATGATGATTTAATGGGATTTAATGGGATTTAATGATGATTTAATGATGATTTAATGATGATTTAATGATGATTTAATGATGATTTAATGGGATTTAATGGGATTTAATGATGATTTAATGATGATTTAATGATGATTTTAATGATGATTTAATGTGATTTAATGATGATTTAATGGGATTAATGGATTAATGATGATTTAAAAATGATGATTTAATGATGATTTAATGATGATTTAATATGATTTAATGATGTGATTTATGATGATTTAATGATGATTTAATGGATTTAATGGGATTAATGGGATTATAGATGATTTAATGCTTGATTTAATGATGATTAATGATTTGATTTAATGATGAGTTAATGATATTTATGGGGATTTAATGGGCATTTAATGATGATTTAATATGATGAATGATGATTTAATGATGATTTAATGGGATTTAATGGGATTTAATGATGATTTAATGATGATTTAATGATGATTTAATGATGATTTAATGATGATTTAATGATGATTTAATGGGATTTAATGGGATTTAATGATGATTTAATGATGATTTAATGATGATTTAATGATGATTTAATGGGATTTAATGGGATTTAATGATGATTTAATGATTATTTAATGATGATTTAATGATGATTTAATGGGATTTAATGGGATTTAATGATGATTTAATGATGATTTAATGATGATTTAATGATGATTTAATGATGATTTAATGGGATTTAATGGGATTTAATGATGATTTAATGATGATTTAATGATGATTTAATGATGATTTAATGGGATTTAATGGGATTTAATGATGATTTAATGATGATTTAATGATGATTTAATGATGATTTAATGATGATTTAATGGGATTTAATGGGATTTAATGATGATTTAATGATGATTTAATGATGATTTAATGATGATTTAATGATGATTTAATGATGATTTAATGGGATTTAATGGGATTTAATGATGATTTAATGATGATTTAATGATGATTTAATGGGATTTAATGGGATTTAATGATGATTTAATGATGATTTAATGATGATTTAATGATGATTTAATGGGATTTAATGATGATTTAATGATGATTTAATGGGATTTAATGGGATTTAATGGGATTTAATGATGATTTATTGGAACTTGATGCTGCTTTACACTAATGGGATTCGTCAACTTTGGCCCTTAATATATGACTCAACATGATCCGAGACGCCCACCGATCGTGGATCGTGGTAAAACTCTGCACGATACTTCGCTCGTTTTGTAATGTGGGGGTCATGTGCAAGAATGGTATGTTCTCCATAATTCGGACGGTTCGGAATCATCTTCGTCAAATGCACGAACAGCTCAATCCACATATAGATTTAAGTTCAATTTTGGATGGAGGGTGATGGACGACTCTCTGGGCTTACTCGCTTGTGACACACGGAGTTCCGAACACAAAACATCAACTAACCATTTTTAATTTGTTTTCCCACCAAAAATATGTATATATATGTGTATATATATATATAAGATATTATAAGATTGTCTGTGATGATGCAAAGATCTATGTCTAGAGACGCGGAATCTGACCGAAAAAAAAATTGGATTCGCTCGAAACAACTCCGAGCCACCGCGGAGAAAGCTGTTGCGTTTGGCTTCCATCAGAGAGGTCGGGTCTGTCCTGATCGATTCCCCCTTGGTACCCCAAAAACTTGATGCTTAATCACCATTGTTCCAATTAAACTGGCAATGTTGCGGGATACAAACCAACACATAGGGTGTGAGTTCTTCTTGGAACCACTGTTTCTGGTAGCTGTTTGAGGTGATACTTTGCCTGAAGGGCTCCAAATCTCTCAGATATTTGTAGATTTTGTCTGGCGAAACTTCAACGAGGTTCTTCCCAGTCGCATGGCCTTACACACCCAGTGTGCCCCTCCCCCTATTTCTTCACCGCTTTCGGATTCCATGGCAAACCTTAAACAACTCCATTGCGCTCCATGCCGTGGCCGAACAGCAACTTATCAAGCCGCGATTTACTGCAATGCATTAGTCACCCGCACCATCCAACTAAGGAACCCGACAAGCGAATTTTGATGAAGAATGGTTTGCCATCTTGTAATTCCCACAAATTGTCAAAGGTGAAACTTCCCTTCACCAGTCAAGGTACCCCAAAATGCTATGGTGTCTGTCATCAGGTTCCCACATGAAAGTTCATCTTTTACGGCTCTAACCCATTTGTGGACAAACCCAATTATATATATAATATATATACATATGCGTATATATATATGTGTGTGTATATATACATATATATATATATAAATATATGTATATATATATATATAGGTCACATTGCTAGTGATATCAGTGATATCCCATTCCATCCCCTGTGCCAATGTCTTTCGAAATTTCCCCCGCCTCGCGGACTTCTGGAACTCCGCCACGTCGCCGGCCCAGCGGATGCCCACGGGAGTCTTCCCCACGTCCGATTCCTCGAAGAAATGGTGAATTACTAACGGGTGAATATTGATGGGTATATATAATAATGTATATATATATATATACCCATGAATAATTCCCATACATATATATATATCCTCATGAATAAGTAATTCCCATATAGTAATTCCCATTTTATGGTAATTCCCATTTTATGGTTTCACCCATATGGGATTAAATTCCCATGAATATTCCCATCAAAATGGAATTAAAATGGTGAATCTTAATGGGGATATAGTGGGTGGATAATGATGAGGGTTAATAAGGGATATAAGATGGTTAATAGCTTATATAACTATAGGGCCACATATTTCTCAGTTAAAATGATGTAAAATGGAAATTAATGGTGAAAATTTCGAAGGGGATGGTAAATTTCACCCTTGAATGGTTATGGGATAACGAACCATAACTGGGAATATGGGTATATGTTGGGTTTCAAAAACCAGATCTAGATATATCATGATATATCCATTTTAATGGTGAATTACTAATGGGGATGTAATGGTGAAATCATCATTCAATGGGATAAAATGGGACTATGTACTACTATGCTGAATTAGTAATGTTGAATGATGATATACCATCTGGTATTTAATTTAAATAATATTTAAATGATATTTCATAGTGGGATCATGATGGAATAGTTCTGGTTAGTGATGGTTCACAATGATGATTAGAAGTTTATAATGGTGATTCATAGTTTATACCTCATATAACTACGTATAGATTGTAGGGTTTAATGGGAATATTTTAGGGCATATATTTACAGAAAGAAACCTGGTTTCATATAAAGTACATAAAATCGAACGTTTACATCCTGGTTTCACAGTTTTCGGCATTCTTTTGGGGTTCATATAGTTAATACCCCCTGGTTATTCAACATAGCCATGGAAAATGGTCCATTTATAGATGATTTTTCCCATTAAAACCTCCATTTATAAGGGATGTTCCATGGCTATGTTAAATAATGGTAAATGTTAACAATGAACCTATGGGAAAATAGTAATAGTTCGCTAGCCTGAAAAACTACAAGGTGCCCCCAGAAACGCGTTTGTTGGTGAATAAACCCACCGAAACCCCAGAGAACTAGTTAGAGTACCATAAACCCTAGTTGTACATAGTTGTACTAGTTATATTATGTTCACCAAGCTAGCTAGCGTTTGGTACGGAATGGTAGGTTTGACATCCCATTCTTGGTGGTACCCTCTGGTAGTTTAACATCGCCAGTTTCCGCAACTTCAACTGTTAGATTCGCAGGGCTAGATTGGCTAGATATTCGGGCCCGCATAGCTTACGTGGAGGATCCACAAATTCCCAATCAGCTTTCTGACTATGGTCCACCAGGTGCACCCCTGCGGCTTTTCCTTACTGAACAAGCAACTCATCATTTTTCGACATGGACCGTCAGTGGAAGCTCTGGATCATAGAGTAAACCCTCAAGGCCTCGCACTTGGGACAGCGTTGGAACCTTCCGGCATCGTTGGAACCTGGCGTCATTGAAGTTCAGCATTGTCTATTCAGGCTTCGCCTCTCCATTGTGGAACCTCACAGCCAGATCCGTTCCGCCATAGTCCTTTGAAGCTCTCTGGAGGTTCGCACCATCTTCCAGCATTTGAAAGCAATGCATGGGCTGATTGTCAGGAAGAAGGTGGCATTGCCGGCAGTGCACCACATCTTTGTCAGCCGCTGGTTTGCTTACTTGGATAGTGACCCTGGTGATGGGATTCGTCCCCGGTTCGTGGGTTATCCGATATGTATAACTGGGCTTTCACTAGCCCCCACGACAACTAACCAGCTATAGCTAAATGTGGGGTGAATGAACCACCCGGGATGTCAAATGTTTATATAGTGAAATCCCAGATTATGTTCCCCATTTTGGCGGGTATAATCATGTTTAATCCCAGTTTTTCTGCCAGACTGGATGTGTTATGTTAAACTGATTTGAATTGTTTTTGCGTGAGATAGATGGCGCTTTAACCAACAAAAGGACAGATTTTACCAACACAAGAGGTGTTTTCATCGGCAAGGATTGTATGGGACTATATACGGTGGGAGTTCTATGGGATCACAGTGGGCATTACATGGCCAATCTTGGGCACAATTGCCCAAGGAGCGGAGCTGGCTAGTCTATACCATCATTTAAAGGAAATGATTAAGGTTCTTTTTCTACCCATCCAAGGCTTCACCAGTTTAGACGATTGACCTGAACACAAGTAAGATCATGTCATATCTAGAATCTGGTGGAAAACGATGGTGTGGTGATGTCCGTAGTGCGGTGCCCAATAAAGGGAAAACTTTTCTCAGTGGTTGATGTGATATAAATAATGAGACATGCTGCATTGATCATCTTAGGTTGCCTCAAACAACATGTAGTCAGTATGACCAAGGAGTATTCAAATGGGACAATCATCTGTAAATGATGGAAATTCCAGCAAGACAATCATGTTTTTGATTACGAAAGGTAATCACTACAGACTTTTGCCGCCAAAGTGGTTGGCGTGCCAACGGCTACACTCCTGAAATGCATGATGAAACTCCATACCCCACATTGCTAGTTCATGCCATGTCCGATGAAAATATCATAACCCCAGGCCCCACTAATCTGTTTTTACATTTATCTATCTACTGCAATTACCTTCTGGTAATCAAGCATGGTGCAGCATGGTTTGCAGGAAAATTGCCTATTTAGTTCGATAATTTGCCTATCAAAAAGGATAATTTCCATAGTTATGTCAAATGACCAATGGGAATATAAAACTCAAAAGTCCCAAAAACGCACCAGAAAAAATACCTGGTTTAGTGGTGACCGCGTTTCCAGTGGGAACTTCTTTCGAGAATCCAAAGCTTTCTGCAGCTCAGGGGCGATGAAGTAAAGACTAGGAGCGTTCAATCCTCCGATGCTGGCTGCTGCATAAAGACCTCGATATTCGGACGTCGGAGGTGAAGGTGGCATGACCAAAGCCATGTGAGATCGCCATGGCGGCTGTAGGGGTGTGGCTTCCTAGAATGTTGGTTGAAAAAAAAACATAGATCTGGGTAAATTATAGTAATGACCTAACCTGATTTGTTTAGGCGATATTTGGGATAATTTCCCGAATCGTCACCATCATTTCAGTGAGGTCCAGTCGCGCTGTCGTTTTTACCCAGACGTCATAAGTTTTCACCAGATTTATGGTGAATCATCCATCCCATGATCTGAGTAAAGCAGGGATCATCCCAGCACTTCTGTTTCAAGTAGGCCCCCAATCATCACCATAAATAGGTCTGGTATGTTTACCATTCCCAAATGGGCGGTCTATTGTTGTTTTAACCACATTAATATGATCAACCTTCATTTACTTCTGAGGGCTCATTCCAACCGAAAACTGACAAAATTGTGTGGTAGTTCCCCTTACCCTCTGGTAATCAAATGTGGCAATTGAAGGTCCTAGTTCTTATGGTGTTTATAACGCAAAAAACTCTCATTGACTCATTGGATCTCTTTATTTTGGCCCAACAAGGGAGGAAATTGACGAAAAGGAACCCTCACCATTTGGCAAACGTAAAACCACCCATTTACCCAAATATATATATATGTATATATATATATATAATCATCCCCAATTCTTGCTGATGTTTTTTATTCCTACATATGCATAATTACAGCATCATGCTATCCTTATCATGGTGGCCACGGGTGATTTTTTCAGTCCGCGCCACTCAGAGGAACTTCATTCTTCCTCACGTCCAAGGCTGCCATGATGGGTGGCCTCGCAGATGGAGCCGGTGGCTGGGGATTTTATTTATCCAAGCAATGAAGGATTCTGGACAGAATTCATGTGATTGTCTACTCGTTATCCTCAACTAGTTATAACATATGCTATAACATCTTATATTATTCAAATAAACCTAGCCGTTTCTGAGAAAACACATGCTTTGCGGTAGAGTTGGGACTATACAATTTCAAAGCCATAAATATAACCATGGTGATCACTAACCACCATAAGTTTGATCATAATCCCTGCAAGATCCTACAACTATGGTCGTATATCCACTCATGACTGGAACTGCACCCTCGGGCCTCCAAGTAGAAGATGTTCAAATGAACTACTTGATTAATTACATATCATATTGTCATATAGTATAAATTAACTATAGTTCTAATGTGATAATCTACTGATCATCATCCATCAAGCAATCCCATCCGCCTACTATAACCCATACTCCTTCAAGTGTCCCAAAAATGACTTGGGGACCAGTACCGCAAACCATGGCTTTTGGGGTCTAATCCCAAGTGCAAGTCCAATGGATATAAAATATAAACCATCAACCAGACTGACGAATAAATGTACCATTTAGGGGCTGCTAAAACCCATACCCCCAAAAAAAGATGTTCCATTGTACTGCTCTGTGCGTGTTTTTGCTCAATGTCGGTGTCGTCATACCCAGATTATCTGCAGCACATTTGTGTCTGTATCTAACATATGTAGGTCCGTATGTATACACGGGCAGATCATAATTGACTAAACTGAAACAACGCTATTCTGGGATGCTTCCCCTACTAACCATCATTCCCGCGACATCGCGACATGGGGTCACGGTAATTTATCCAAATATTTCAATATTTCCAGATACACTGTATGTGATACACATATGTGTGTGTGTGATGTATGGTGTAAATCCACACATATATATTTAAATAATAATAATAATAATTAAAATAATAATAAGAATGTGCGTAAATCTGCCTCTATATATAATAATATTTGTGTGGGTAAATCTTTCTGCATGGACCAAAAAATCACAGTGGCGCTGTCCAAGTCATGGCAAACTCCAAACACAGCAGTGGCTCAGTCCTGTTGCAACTCTTGTTGAGCCATTCCTCACGGAGAAGCAAGGTTTAGTCAAAAAACAACTGTGGCCATGTGTTTGTTTTCAAAAAACGGGGGAATGTTTAGTTTGTTTAGTTGGCCACGTTTAGTTCGTCTGGTGTCAAGTTCGATGGACAAGATGACAAACGTGGAAAGAGGATGGCTGGCTTACCATCACTTTCCCAATCAGCCAAGCTGAATCGACAATGGCCTATCCACGAGGAAAATAAAGGAGAATGACGTAATATGCTGCTAGAATAAAACAACATGTTTCTCTTTGATACTAAATAAAAAAGCATCTTGAAGCTGGCGTCATGGCTCATCATCCACTGCCAAAATGCTCATTACTAGCTGGGCTTTTCAAAATCTCCCAGTCGGAATCAAGCCTGGCAGTGTCCCAGCTAGCCACCTGAAAACCACATTGGATTGGACGGTGATCGAACTTTCCAAGTCCCAGTTTCGGACATGGCATCCAATGCTTCCATCTCATCTTCAAAATCGATCACCTGACGAAGCATTGAACATGAAATAAATGTGAAACCACCAGCCAGATCCAGCCAGTCACATTTGTAGCACCGGTTTGCAAACAACAAAAGGCATCACATGTAATCACTAGAAGATCTAGAAGAAACTGTGAGCATAGTACATGGTGTTTATTGTTGGCAATTGCACGCAACACAACAATGATGAACAGCGAAAGGTCCCAATTTATGGCATTTTGGGTCCCAGTGGACCAATGTCAGGCGCAACGCCTGATGACATTTCCATCTCTTACTTGGAATTGCTCCAACCCCCCAAGACTCAAAAAAACAAGAAAAGATTTACCATCTGGTTATTTAACATAGCCATGGAAATCACTATTTTTAATAGGTAAACCCAGGTAAACCATCTATAAATGGGCCATTTTCCATGGCTATGTTAAATAACCAAAGGGTAGCTCAGATAAAGATGAAGCTTCCGCCGGGTCTGTAGGAAACCCTGCCACAAACAGATTCCCAGTTGACGATGGCTTATACGTGTTTATAGCGCCCATGGGGTCCGGGGGTCCGTCAAAATGGTGAGAACTTGGGGATGGTTTATGGCAGCCAGGGTTTACCACATTTCGTCTTGTCAGAGCCAATCTTCGCTACGTCGGGGTATAGATGTAAGGATTACCAGGATTGATGGGATCCAAGATTTAACCAGGTTTTTCCCCTCAAGAGATAGCACTAGGTAAATACCCGTCAGCAAGGTTAAACATAGATTTAAGTACTCCAGCAAATTGTCCAATGCAGCATGGCCAAAATATCGTTGACAAACCCGTTTGCTCACCAAGGTTTGATTCCCATAGTGACCATCATCCCAGGAACCCTTGGAAAATACATCAACCATACTTAAACCTCTGTCCATATATGCCTAAATCAGTGGCATTGCGTGGCTAAACTTTTTTTCCCGACGGTGAATCTTAGATACCTGCCCAAAATTTATCATTTTTCGTTGGTTAGTTGGTTATTACATGCAAGTACCATTGATAGCCTATCGGATAAAAAGTACAACAGTTCATATCTCACCATCCAATTTTCTCCATAATTTTCGGGTGGTTTTTGTTTGTCGTTAGACCCTACCCTCCAGTAAATTAACATAGACCCTGGCAGATGGGGGTTGGAAGATTAGTTTCCACTAAAAATTGTTCATTTTCAGGGTCTATGTTTGTTTACCAGAGGGTACCCCTTTGAAACAGCTGCAACATGTCGACTCGTTGCCGTCTGCTTGTCGCCTCTTCGTCATTGGAAATGCTGTCCTGGCGACAAAAACCAATCCCGTTGTGCCAGTTTTATGTTCAGCTGGATGTTGGTGCTATTGACATGCATGATATTGCAATGTATATATATATTATATTTGATATGTATTATATTAAATTATATTATTATATATTATTATATCATATCAGGTTACATTATATTATATTCTTTATTCTATTGATATTATATCATATGATATTAAAATTATATGGTATTAAAAGATATTCTACTATACTACATTATATCATACTATATTATATATTATATATTACATATGTATATATATATACATATTGCACCATATTCTCCGATCAACGTTGGCAACATAATTTCGGACTACTTTTTTTGAACCAAGGTCCACCCGAGACAGGGGTTGAAGTTAGGTTCGATTTTTAGATGGGGATTGAACAATACTGAACCCGGCAAAAGGCTAGATTCAACTTCCCATGAAAGGTTCATCATCTTTCAGGGTACCTATGAAAAGCATGTTTCCCACTCAAAACGGGACTCGCACCCCCTGGGTAATCAAGTTGGCAATGGAAATGCACCACTAAAGAAAAATAAACATGTTGGATTAAAGTGATTAAAGTAGCACTGTTCTCCACCAAACATTGAGATTCTCCAGGCAACCTTGGGGAGGATCATCTCACAAGGGTTCAGCCGCGTCACAGGCGACTTGTAGACATACAGAATGGTAGCGCCATTTTGCCGGAGCCTCTCCTGCATCCATTGAGTTCGATGATTGTGCCAGATCTACCCTTTAAAACTATGGTGAATTTCCAGCCATGTTTATTGTTAAATTACCAAATGCTTAACCTCCCCTGTTGATGTTCAATCTTCCCAACCCGCCTGGTAATTGGAAATTGCCGACCTATATGGAAGTGTCAACGGGAAAATTATCTACAAATGGAAGTCCAGAAGTGGATTCTCCAACTATTGAATAAACATGGGCTCCAAAAATAAACAAAATCCAGGAAAAAAACAAATCCACCAGAGTTTGTTTTTGTGGCAGTTCTGATGACACAATAGGAAAAAAACCGTCCTCCAAGCCAACATTCACCAACTTCTGCCAGAACTTGCTTGAATCTTCCAGCTGCGGCCGCTCCGACATCTGCCGGGGACTCCTGGTCGAGAACTGCCAACCAGGATGGAAAGTACTAAAACCATAACCACATGGGGGTTTCCTAAAAAGGTATCCCAAAATATCCAAAATGGATGGTTTATAGTGGAAAATCCTATTGAGATGGATGATTTGGGGGTACCCCTATTCTAGGAAAGCTCCACATTCTATCATGTCCAGCCTTTCCATGCCACTGTTCTTCTACGAATTTTCCTCGGCTTGGATGGAGACCATCATGTCAACTATCAAATATTTCGTGCTGAATAAGTGATCCAGACAGTGACATTTACAAGTTGTTACCAACAAGCGTGTCCTGCGGACAAACTAAACACACACACACACAGATAGATATATAATCCCCCATGTATAGCCCGCTAGATGCTTTGCGGCCGACTTTATAGAGAATAGCCTGGTATAAACTGGAATGGCCACATGTCTGGAGTCTATAAAGTGGAAAGCCAACATGTTGTCTATAAAGTCAAAATCCAACGTTTGTATAAAGTCGCCTGGCCGCGTAAAAACATAAAACTCGATGCAGGTTTTTGAGGGTACTTGTGAACATGTCACATGACTATAAAGTGAGATGCCGAACATCCAGATAGTAATACTTGTGCAGAACAGTGGCACTATAATGTGGATTTCCGGCTAAACAACGATCGTTGTAGTAGCGATGATTTTCTTAATCGCGACGATGGCAGCATCGACATGATTGTCTATAAAGTTGAGGGGCCACGTTCAAACCTTGGGGGAATATCATCGATCTCATCGATGGGGAACCCAAAAGACTTCGAATGACTTCGAAACCGAACGAAACCGACAGCCAGACAAATATCTATATCGAAGTCGTTGACAGAATCTATGGTAAAACAAAATCTATGTTGGACTGGCCACTTTATACCCCCTCCCCCAACAGAGAATGCCTCTAACACACTTTCCTTTGAAAGGGTCCTTGGGGTGGAAGGGGTCCTGGTCGCGCCGCGCGCGCGCGCACCAAAATGGCTCCAATTTTGAGACCTTTTTGGCGCGCGCGCGCGCGGCGCGCCCAGGACCCCATTCACCCTGAGGAATTTTTCAAGGGAAATCTTCTTCTCTATAAAGTGGCCAGTCCAGGTAAAAACCCTGAAAAAACAGAATCTATGTTGGACTGGCCACTTTATACCCCCTCCCCCAACAGAGAATGCCTCTATAAAGTGGCCAGTCCAGGGAAAACCCCTGAAAAAACAGAATCTATGTTGGACTGGCCACTTTATACCCCCTCCCCCAACAGAGAATGCCTCTATAAAATGGCCAGTCCAGGTAAAACCCCTGAAAAAACAGAATCTATGTTGGACTGGCCACTTTATACCCCCTCCCCCAACAGAGAATGCCTCTATAAAGTGGCCAGTCCAGGTAAAACCCCTGAAAAAACATAATCTATGTTGGACTGGCCACTTTATGCCAGTCCAAGTAAAACCCTTGAAAAAACACATTTTTACCTGGAATGGCCACTTTATACCCGCTCCCCCAACAGAGAATGCCTCTATAAAGTGGCCAGTCCAGGTAAAACACCTGAAAAAACACATTTTTACTTGGAATGGCCACTTTATACCCCAGCCAGTGGGCTCCAGGACTTTGACCCGGAAACTGAAGGGCTGACAACAAGGTAAAGGGGGAAAACTACAACGGAGAGGTACAACGGGAAGGCTACCACAAGAAAATGAGACATGTCACGTTTATATACGTTTATTGTTTTCAATGTGTCATATTGTTGTCAGCCCTTCCGTTTCCGGGTCAAAGTCCTGGAGCCCACTGGCTGGGGTATAAAGTGGCCATTCCAGGTAAAAATGTGTTTTTTCAGGGGTTTTACCTGGACTGGCCACTTTATAGAGGCATTCTCTGTTGGGGGAGGGGGTACAGTGGCCATTCCAGGTAAAAATGTGTTTTTTCAGGGGTTTTACCTGGACTGGCCACTTTATAGAGGCACTCTCTGTTGGGGGAGGGGGTATAAAGTGGCCATTCCAAGTAAAAATGTGTTTTTTCAGGGGTTTTACCTGGACTGGCCACTTTATAGAGGCATTCTCTGTTGGGGGATGGGGTATAAAGTGGCCAGTCCAACATAGATTCTGTTTTTTCAGGGGTTTTACCTGGACTGGCCACTTTATAGAGGCATTCTCTGTTTCGGGAGGGGGTATAAAGTGGCCAGTCCAACATAGATTCTGTTTTTTCAGGGGTTTTACCTGGACTGGCCACTTTATAGAGGCATTTTTCTGTTTGGGGAGGGGGTATAAAGTGGCCAGTCCAACATAGATTCTGTTTTTTCAGGGGTTTTACTTGGACTGGCCACTTTATAGAGGCATTCTCTGTTGGGGGAGGGGGTATAAAGTGGCCAGTCCAACATAGATTCTGTTTTTTCATGGGTTTTACTTGGACTGGCCACTTTATAGAGGCATTCTCTGTTGGGGGAGGGGGTATAAAGTGGCGAGTCCAACATAGATTCTGTTTTTTCAGGGGTTTTACAGGGGTTTTTGGACTGGCCACTTTATAGAGGCATTCTCTGTTGGGGGAGGGGGTATAAAGTGGCCAGTCCAAGTAAAAATGTGTTGGACTGGCCACTTTATAGAGGCATTCTCTGTTGGGGGAGGGGGTATAAAGTGGCCAGTCCAACATAGATTCTGTTTTTTCAGGTGTTTTACCTGGACTGGCCACTTTATAGAGGCATTCTCTGTTGGGGGAGGGGGTATAAAGTGGCCAGTCCAACATAGATTCTGTTTTTTCATGGGTTTTACCTGGACTGGCGACTTTATAGAGGCATTCTCTGTTGGGGGAGGGGGTATAAAGTGGCCAGTCCAACATAGATTCTGTTTTTTCAAGGGTTTTACTTGGACTGGCCACTTTATAGAGGCATTCTCTGTTGGGGGAGGGGGTATAAAGTGGCCAGTCCAACATAGATTATGTTTTTTCAGGAGTTTTACCTGGACTGGCCACTTTATAGAGAAGAAGATTTCTCTTGAAAGGGGTCCTCAGGGTGAATGGGGTCCTGGGCAGCTCTATAAAGTGATTTGGGTGATGTATCTCATGACTCTATAAAATGCTCTGCCGCAATTTTCTTTCTATAAAGTGCCCTGGATGCAGCACAAATTCTTCTTCTTAAAGGGCAAGTTTCACTCTATAAAGTGCTTTGCCATGTATACAGCCCCAACAGAAAGATATTGGCCCGAAATCATTGGGGAGACATGTTTCTATAAAGTGGATGATGTGACATATTATGGCCATTCTTTGAAGGGAACCAACGGTCTATAAAATGCATTGCCGCATATATTGAGTCGTTCCCTTGTGGGGAACCAGCCGGGTATAAACTGGAAAGCCAACGTTGCTATAAAGTCATCTTCCAGGTCCAAGGGCATGTTTCTCGCGCAAAACACGGCTTTATCCCCCATTGTTGGTATATAAAGTGGCGACCGGAAACCCACTTTATAAGCGCAAAGGATGTCCACTTTATAGTGAGCTATACATGGGGGATGATATATATATATATATATGTGTGTGTGTGCGTCCAATACTGGATACGCCCCGCATCGCCCCACGAAACCATTCATTTTGAAACCCTTATATAATTTTTGGGGATAGACAATGTTGGGGGGCAATGATTACATTGTGACATGCACACACGCCCACACACTATTTTTTAGGTGTCTTTACATGAATGTGCTTGCCTTGCGTCATCTTGTGTCTTTACAATCTTAAGTCACTCAAGCAACACAAAAACTCCATAGCACCATCCATTGGGCGCACTTTCCCACCAAGATGGCAGCTGGGAAAACACCATAACTGAGGGCTGGTAAATTCATGAGGGACCTTGCATACCTGAAACCTAAACTGCGAGAGGAAATACATTGTGGCTTCTCCAAAAACATGCTACTTGTAGGAAGACCCTAGTGTTCAGAATGATAAAAACTGGTTCCGCGGTTTATTCATACTATTTTTGTTGTTGATTTGAATAATATGATAATGATTGGTATAGTACCTCCATTTTCGGCAGCTGAATATGCCCGCGAAGAATTATTGGTGTATGCCAATCTTTGTATATATTATATATAGATATATTATATATATATATATATATATTCGTGTATATGTTCGTCTCATCCACTTGTATCAGATTTGGGGTTGGTCGGAGACCCCTGACTTTCGGGGTCCCCTCTGATCATCAGACAACGACAGCCTGAAAAAAAACAGGTTTGATAGGAAAATAGATGTTGTCTAAAATGCCCTCTGACAAACTAACATAACTATTGAAAATTGCCATTTACAGTGAGTTTTCCCATTAAAAATAGTGATTTTCTATAGTTATGTTAGTTTACCACAGGGTAGCACCCCTGTTCACCATGGCTTTCCTCTTACAATCTCAAATTCATTGTTACCAATAAATTGGATGAGCCAATTGGAGCTTCCCATGACTTAGGACATCCACCATGGACCGGTGGTCAACATTGGCGCTGACAATTGGGCCCTGCCATGTAGGAAACGCCCCAGAGGAAGCGTAACTCAGCGTGTCCTATTCAATAAGCCCTTCATGAAGTCCACCAAGCTCTCAGGACTTTCCTCGATGACGGGATGGAAGGCCATATCTTGGCCCTGAAGAATCTAAACATCAACTAGGATGAGATTATGGAGATTTGAAACATCTTGAAACTCTTGAAACTGTCAAAAACACTTGAAACATCTTGGCCATATCTTGGTAATTACAGGTCAAAAACACTTGAAACATCTTGAACCCATTGTGCTGACGAGTCAGGGTTGGTTGACTGTTTTCTTTGGCATTGGGAAAATTGGGATCTGCCATGCCGTGCTGAAGAGCATACCCGATGCATCATTGACCCCCCCAACTATGTGCAAATGGGTTTCCAAACATGATGGGGTCGAAATTCAACGTGTCACAATGTGTCATACAACTTGTCATCCATCTCCATCTTGAATTGGAAAGGAGATCGACCCCACCAAGGAGATCCAAGGAGAATCACCAGAAATGGGGCCAACCCAACCAGTGTCATTTCCGCGGGAGCATTAGGATGAACACTAGGCCAATCTCAGATACTGGGCCAAAACCACTTCCTTTTTCTAAGGCAAATAGTTCCTGATAAAATAACTTAGCCATGGACATCCATAGTAAAGAGGCTTCCCTGGTTTCCATAGTAAAATGATCTACAACTGGTGGTTCTTCCATATATCATATACGTGAATCTTCAATTTAGTGGAACCAAACTGGATAGTGACCAAGTTATGTAGATACATTTGAAACTGGGCCTATCATTAATCTGGGTAAATTATAATATTTCACTAACCTGAATTAAGGCCATTTGGGGATCATTTCCCCTACTAACTATGATTATAGTGAGGTCGCAGTGAGGTCGTTATAATTTACCCAGATTAATGGGTTTGTTTAGCCACCAGCCAACCAGCCACGGCGACCCAGCTCTCGATACATCCAAGAAACCGGCATCGTTGCGACATCCGAAAAGAAATACCTTCCACGACCAGCCGGTGACGGTCCGCGATTTCATCGACCAGCTGGGGCTGTTACCCTCTGGTTATTTAACATAGCCATGGAAAATGGCCTGTTTATAGAGGTTTACCTATTAAAAATGGTGATTTTATGTGATTTTCCATGGCTATGTTAGTCATAACCAGATGGTATATCAACGATTGGGGGTTTCTTCAAATCGAGGATCTCCAAGTCACCATGGTTGTTTCAATACTCACATGGTCCAATGGGGTACTGTACCCCTATTTTAGGAAACCGTTCACATACGTCAAACAAACTAGGAGATTAATAAAATAAGGAATCCCTCAACCACAACAACAAGTCTTGAACCTAGATTCCAAGCATGTATTATTGCGTATCAAGCGTGGCGTGTTCTGATTGGATGGAACTATACGAACATACAATGATTTATAAAAAGTTATCACATTTTATATTCCGCACTATCACTACAACCATCGCATTATTACAATCTATCTATCTATCTATCTATCTATCTATCTATCTGTCTGTCTGTCTGTCTGTCTATTTATCGGTCTATCGATCTATCTATCTATCTATCTATCTACCTGATCTAATCTAATCTAATCTGTTCCTATCCTATCCTATCCTGTCCTGTCCTGTCCCGTCTTGTCCTGTCCTGTCCTGTCCTGTCCTATCTATCTATCTATCTATCTATCTATCTATCTATCTATCTATCTATCTATCTATCTATCTATCTATCTATCTATCTATCTATCTATCTATGTGTGCGTGTGTGCAATTACATGGCTCATATGGGTCACATGGGACACACGGGTCAGACTGGTCACTAGAGATAGATGCTACTGGTCTGATGGATGGTCTGAATGGTCGGCCCCAAGTGGTGCCGAAGAAATCATCGTCCTTGATCACAATATTCATGGGTTAATCCAAAATTTGACAAAGATTCCATAATCTAGTGACAATATTCATGGGTTAATCACAACATTTTTGGATTTGACAATATTCATCTGGTTAATTCCACTTTTCCACCATTTTTTTCTGGTGTCTCAAATCCAAAATCTGGTAACGTCTCCATGTTCCATGGCTTCAATCTCCGCGCTGCCGCTCCGCCGCGCAGAGCGCCTGGGTCCGTGGCGAAAGCGTTGCGCCACCAGCGCCGGGGCGTGCCAGGCGTAGAGCTCGTGTTCCACGAAGCTGGGAAACTCATGGATGTCGATGGCCAAAATGAGGAGTTTCCTGGTTCGCACGGCTGTGGAGTTTTAGCCAGGGGATATCATGGGAATTGGACGAAGCATTTGATGGTTTTTTTGGGGGGGGAAGTAGTTAAGTTGGCCAGCATAACTAATAACTTTATTAACTTTATGGTAGACATGACATATCTATAGTTGATGGAGATCATAACCCAACTTAGTACTAGGGAGCAGCACCCTGTGGATGCCATAGATCTGGTTGAACGCAACATGCGACGACTTTGTTTGAGGATATAATGGGATAGAATGAGATATTCTCAACATATAATATATTATACAAAAATCCTATAGGTGAGCATCAACAGAATATGGCATCTACAACTAGTGAATGGTAGTCAAAATGAAGAGTTTCCAGCAGCTGCATGAAGACTTTGCTAATGGATTCTGGATGAATATGCTATGAACACATCCTTGAGCATAGTGATTTCAGATGATTTCAGTAGGTTAAGATAGATTACAGTAAAATATCTTTGAACGAATGGGTATCGCTAAGGTATCGCTAGGGGCATCGCTAATTTCGCCTCTTGCACGTACGCAACTTTGACCAAAACAACTTGAGATGTGGACATGCATAATTGTAGGTATCGCTTTTGCGGGGTGGCCTATTGCTACAGAGTGTTTGAAGCACTTTCCAGACACAAGAGGACACTCCTTACAAAAGTAGTGTACCAGAGTTTTGACCGTACCTCACATGATTTACTTCCTTTATTCCTTTCAATGGTAGGCATTTGGTGAGGCATGCCCTATTTGAATATCTATTTGAGTGGTTCTACAACCTCACTATCAGTGCATCTGCAACCCAATTTGAGACTAGTTATAGCCACAATGGGCTGAACGATGTCGCCGTTTCGCCTTGAATCTTGGCCCAGTACCCATGGTTAACGATATCCTGCGAAACATGGAAGGTTTGCGACCTATTCATTGATCAAAATGCCTGAAGAATGACTCATGAACCAAGCAAAATATCGAGGTTTACCCAGAATTTCGTTGGTTTTATTGCCATCGATCCTACTTGGATGTGCATCCCACTGGATGGAAGTGGTTTATAACCCATATATAACCCATATATAACCCATATTTCAGTGGGTTATATATGGGTTATAAACCATATCGGTTATTCCACTAGCAATGGCTGGTAGCCTCATGGCTGCTTATAATCCATATTTCAGTGGGGATATTCCATTAATCTCACAAGCAGCCAGCCATGAGGCTACCAGCCATTGCGAAGCCGAGGCTCTTCCGTTTGCGCACGGAGGACTCCGTTTCCGCCGCCACACTGGCCTTCCACGGTGGGTTATCATTGGAGAACCTTCACTAGGCTAGGTGTACACACCTGCCAAGTACAGTACCCTCTGGTGAACTAACAGTTTGCTATTGAAAATGGCCATTTATAGTTGATTTACCCATTAACAATGGTGATTTTCCAAAGTTATGTTAGTTACCAGAGGGCAAATGCAAACATTTACCGAACTTCTTGTTAACACGCTCACCCAGTTGGGCACTGGCTCCTAAACACTGACCCAACTACCCTTACCGTCCCTGCACATTCAATAAAGGAGCAAGTCCAAAACTGGCCCGAATACAAGTAGTGTTCTCCAAAAATGGGGCACCACCGAGTCCTTCACATGGTTCCAAAGCTAGAAGCAGATACCCCCATTCCTTCAAACACATTCAACTTGCCATAAATTAGGGTCATGCATAATGTTCAGGTACCAATCCCAAGTCGGATTTTGGATTATATTGGATGATTTTGATCATAATTTGCTGTTATAGTATAAATAATCTATCAGAAATCTATCATACATAATCTGCATCGTTTTACCACCATTAGCCATCAATAACTATCAGTAACCATCATTTATTAACCATTATTAACCATCATTGACCAATAATGGTTTCTAACCATGTGTTACTGATCCATGATATATCCCATCATTAACTATTAATGGTTGCTAACCATAGTTATCATCCTGGATGATTTGCTCACCATCTGCTGGATGCCGAAAAAATCCGTACCTGAAAGACCTGTCGGGTCTCCTGAGGCGACAGCGGTGGGGGATTCGCAACGAAAAAGTGGCCCGAGCCATGCCATGGAAAATATGTGTAGCCCATAAAGAATGGGGATTCTTTAAGGGATTATACTGTGATGTTTGATTTGATGATCATATGTCGATAGGATTTTTACATGATACTAAGATGAAAACCCTAGGACATCTCAGGATAACATAATTCTATTATCATAAGATGGTTTGAATGTATAATCCAATAGATATATCCAGTTATAACTAATAAACGGAGCATGTTTCTATAGATATTCAATGGATTGGTTTGAGGGAAATTTTGCACCAGAAAGCCATCAATGTTTTCCGATAGATTTTCCCTTCAAACAATCCATTGAATGATGATAAGATTAGGATAGGACAATATGATACTAGGATGATAATGTTAGGATAACATAATTCTACTATCCTACTATCATGAGATGATATGATCATAGGCTTGCAATTAATATACAGTATTAATCATTATGATAGGATCTAACGATCGTAATGATATACTAATGATGATATAAGTAGGAGGCGTCCTGTGTGGCCAGCAAGGCCGTTTTCAAGGTCACCACAGGAGTCTTCTTGATCTGCCCGAAGTCTATGTGGTGTTCACAGCAGTCCTCCATCGTGCACCACGGGTGAAAAGGTCCATGAAGTCGATGAGCAGCAGCCAGTGATGGAGTTCTCAAGCGCCTGTTGTCATTCTATTTGGTTCTGACCTGGTGTCCGCGCGCGCCCATCTTGGGCGGCGCTCTCACAGTGCCATCGGACACTTCTTTTCATACCTCCAGCCACGCCTTGTCTTTGGTGATGTCGGCAAAGTCTCTGGGGTGGTAGCGCAGCAAGTTGCGCATGTGCCGCAAGTTACCCCAACCCAGTGACGTGACGTCAGTTGTGCATGTGCCGCAGTGCCGCAAGTTAACATGAACGTTAACATACCCACCCCACCCCAACCCAGTGACGTGATGTCAGTTGTGCATGTGCCGCAAGTTAACATGAACGTTAACAGCCCCACCCCACCCCATGCCGACCCTGACGAAACACTGCGTTTAATGGGATGGAACACCCAAAAAAAAAAACAATTATTCCATTGGGGAAAACGACTTCGAAAACGCGCGCGAACAGCAGGGCGGACGGTTCTATTTGGATGATAGGATGATCGAATGGTGATAGTAGGATACTCAGTAGATCTACGGTAGTATGATGATAATATACCAGTATCATATCTTATTCATCCTATCATCATCATTGGCAATGAATAATAGGATGATACTACGATGATATTCATTTATATTCATTGTCAATCTTTGATACCCTGCAAAAAATGAAATTGCTAGCTGGTTACTAAGAATTCTGATTTTAGTATATAACCATTTGCAAACGATATTTATAGCAAAATCTGAAAGGATTACACTACCCATCCAAGGTTGACCTAAAATAATCGGATGCTCGTATGGCGATAATGTTGATACTATGATACCACATAACAATTATGATTGTTACAAACCACAAGTTTTGGGGTTGATAGTTTCGACTCACACCAAAGAGTACCTGTTGGGTACATTCCAAGGTTTTCCTGCATTGTTCCCATATGTGCAACATTCTGCGACTTTTCTGATGCGTTCTTCCGGTGAATGGTTAAAACCATTCATATCAACACGAGAACGCACCTGACTGACAGACATTGGACCTTTTCCCCTGAAACCGACTATGATTCTGGTTTGAGGTATCTTTGGTAATGTTAATTTTGCTGCATTAGGAAGAAAAGGCAAATATTTACTTTCTGGTGGCATAACACAGTTCCGCAAATTGCCCGTTTACTTCGATAATTTACCTGTTAAAATGTTTTTCCCACAGTTTGCCTATCTAGTTATACCATTACAACCATCTTATCATACCATTTATTATTGATGAGTTTCATGGTATTAAACCATTTATTTAATAATTAATACCATGTAGTTGGCTGGCGGCGGATAGAACGCCGCCAGCTTTCGTGCGTTTTTCTGTTTCTCCTCTACTTTTTCTCACGCGGTCTTGCTCTGTCGATGGGGTGGGGTGGGGTGGGTGGGGTGGGGTATTAACGTCATGTGCAGAGTGCGTGGAACACGCTCTTGCCTGACACGCTCTTGATGTTACGCTCAGCACTTTTTCCTAGCAACTTCCAACACGCTCTTGATGTTACGCTCTGCACTTCTTCAGGGAACGTCCAACACGCTCTTGATGTTACGCTCTGCACTTCTTCAAGGAACTTGAAACACGCTCATGATGTTATGTTCTGATACTAAGTAATTTGAAACACGCTCTGGATGTGATGCTGTTGCCTGACTATGTCCCAAGTTGTTTTTAAATGCTTTGACCACAATTCCATTGTTTGTGAGTTAAAGTGATGGGATTCATGAGGATTTTAAAGGTCTGGTAGTTTTTGAACGCTTCCCTTCGCGAAGTTGGAGTGTATCAAAATTTAACTCACGTCCTGCATAGTTTGTGATAGAAAGAAATACACTTACAGATACAACATTGATAAAACGAAGTAGTTTGTCGCAGGATTTGAGAGGGTCCAAAAAATGCACGAAAGCAGAAATCCCTGAGAAAACACAGGGAAAGTGAACTTGCAACGGTTGGAAAAACAGGCGGCGTTCTATCCGCCGCTTACCATGTAGTTATACCACCCTTCTGAAAAATATGAGTTCGTCAGTTGGGATCATGACATTCCCAACTGAATGGAAAGTCATAAAATTCCATGGTTCCAGTCACCACCAACCAGATAGTAAAAGCATATATTAACCATATATCAACCATCATTAACCATTGATAACTATCATTTATTGATCTCCCGTACAGATGATGTTCCCAGCTGGAAAACTGCAGAGATTCCCCATGGAAGTCCTGCAGGAGCTGCCTCCAAGGCTTCAGGGCATCCTCCAACGCCTCCGCGGGTGATTTCACCAACAAAATAATGGGGGATAATGATGATTTTACCAGCAAAAACCAGCAAAAAGAATGATTTTACCAACAAAAATGATGATTTTACCAACAAAAATGATGATTTTACCGGCAAACATGATAATTTAACCGGCAAACATGGTGATTTAACCAGCAACAATGGACTTGCTGATAGGTACAATGGAGATAATAGTGGTGGGAATGTCTTTCAAAGCCATACCCTTTGGTGTCATCAAACATGGCTAGCTGGGAAACCTTGGAGGTTTCTAGCTGGGAAGACCAAATGGGGAGATTTTCCAGCCATGTTTGGTTACCGGAAGGGATATGAAGAACTTTTAAGAGATATGCTGGATTTCACTATGCATCGGATATGATAATTTGATGATATTCATGTGGCGTTTTCATCTAAAGATTAATGCTGTTGAAATGATGGATTTTATGGGATGTAGACATTTAAAAAGGGGATAACAATCGATAACTCATACTCATTAATAAGGCCAACCCCTAAAGCATCCCAATGTTGTTTTACAACTTTAAACTCCAATTTGGGGATGACGTTGTCAATGACCCCACATTGCTTAAGAATTGGAGATTGGTTACTGTTGGATTTACCACCTTAAACATCTAAGAGATCAGTGGGTAATGTACATGGCTGCCATGGCTGTTGCAAAATTGGCCATGGATGGCCTAAGCGAGCCGCCAACGATTCCGGGCACAAACTAAGCTGTTTCTTTAGTGCTGCTTCTTTAATGCTGGGCAAATGATAGTCCTGGGGAATTATCCCTTTTTTTCAGTGATTTCTCCCAGTTACGAAGGATCATGTGTGATGAGATCATCTAACTGCTCAAAAGATCAAAAAAATCTGGAAACCATAATTAGGTATTGGATCTATTCATTTTTGGGGCCCGTGCAAAGGGGAACTTCACTTCGAGGAAGGAAACAAGCTTGCAGAAATTGCCCGCAATATATGGGGATTTCGGCCGCCGAATTCATGGCCACCCTCCCTCCAACCACAGCGCGCTTGGTTGCATGGTATGCTCTGCTGTAGACATTGTTGACGTCATTCTTGAGTTGCTTTCCTTCTCCTTCCTTCTGAGAATCTTTGCGAGCGCAAGGCGGTTTCTTCTTCAGGGACTCTTTGCCCTTGGCTCGCTTTTTCAGAGAAGCCTTCCCTTAGCCTTAGGACTCGGGTTTAGGAGAAGCCTTCGCTTTTCCCTTTGTAACCTTATGACTCGGGATCTTTCACTGCTGCTCCTTGGCTAGTCGAAAGTTTGGCATCCCTTCAGCACCACTGCTGTCCCACCTGCTCATGGGAAGAGTCTCAGATCTCATGGGTTCCCTTTTAGCTGGTTAGTAGGCATTAGTCCAATTTAAAAGGATTAAAGGATCAAACTATCCATCCAGGAAGTGAGTCATTATCCCAGGTAGTATCGGCCACAGAAGGCACAACTTTTCGTTGGTTAGACCTCGCTTTTTCTAGGTCAAAGCCCCATTAAATGAGGTACTTCTCTGAGAAATTTGATTTCAACAAGCCAAATTAGTGGGCTTCCAACAAGGTTCAACCACATTTCTGGTTTTAGAAAACATCTTGCCACAAAATTGCGCTTTATTGGAAAAGTCAGACCTGAGTCAGAACAGTTCTGTGTTCATCCACCTTTGACTTTGACCATGGCACTCCGGCACCTGCGCTTGCTGCGGTGCGCTTGCACCGCTTGCGCTGCAGGTCTCTTCGCAAGGCGCCTGCACAGCTCGCCAGGTTGGCCAGGTTGGCTAGGGGCAGCTGTAAATGCGGAACCCAAGCCATCCTGAAACCTTAGAAAAGCCAACAGTGATCTTGGGGGAAAACTCTGGAAACATGATTAAACAACATTAAACATGATGAATTTGGAGGAAATCTAGGTATACCTATCGGAATTGCTTCATGATGTTCATGTCTGGCATATTTGAATTTGGGCCAGAAAGTTGTGGGGAGGTCTCTACCAGGTGGACCGCAGGTGTCCAAGGGATGAACCGCAGGTACCAACAGGTTGTCACGGGCAAGCTGTTTGGTCAGGGGATGATGGTGGATCACCAGCTCAAAGGCTATGAACATATATCGCAATGTTCAAGATTCAAACCTACTTTTTGGTAATCTTACCTGGCAATGGGAATTTGCCCAACCCTCCCTGTGTGTGTGTGATGAATGATGATTACCTATTGAAGATGTCCATTATGATGGATTTTCAATGTGTGTGTGTTTAATGACGGCTAAAAACCCACTAACTGGGGCTCTGAGTCATCCCAACTTGATATCTCCAGATCCGGATAAGTCAGAGAAGAAAATCAAACCATATTTGCTGATATGAGTTGGGCTCACAAAAATGTTGCCTTGATGTTAACCAAAAAGGTATATGCATGTGTATTCATTAAATTTAATCATTTCTATAGATAGTCATTTAATGTCATTTATGAGATGTGGTTGGCCACCAGGTCACTACAAATCATCAAGATTTCACGACGTTCGCACATCAAAAGGGGAGACCCAAGGCTCGCCCAATTGTGTGTGACCATGAGCCACTGAGACACGGAACGCCATGGGGTTATTTAACTGTTTTTTTTGTCTTGAGCTAATTTTATTAGCTAACTCTTTAGTAAACTGTGGCAAGACTATGATAACTGGTTTATAATAACTGGGGTTAGCTAAACCCAATTGTAGAGACTTACGATCAGCGAATTTTAGCTATTGAAAAACACATATTTACAGGGTTTAGTGGCTAAAAAACAATGTGAATCTTAAACCCTGTGGAAGTCCTGATTTGATCGCTCAGGGGGCACGCTGGCCCTGTGAACCTTCCGGGTTGCAGCACCTGCCCAGTCACCAGTTAGCTAACCATGGCCCGGTGGTTAGTAGGTGGTGAAGAGATGTTACAACCCATGATACAGCCAGTTCTACAGGCTTAGGATCACCAGTTCAAACTAAACTAATGTGTGCAATAATAAATCATCCCCCAGTCATCACCATGTTTATAGCTGGCATGTTTACCATTCCCAGTCATGGGTGGTTTATGGCATTCAACCATCCCCCAGTCATCACCATAAATAGATGGTATAAACCATTCCCAGTCATGGGTGGTTTATGGTTGTATTACCCACATTAAACTAAACTAAACTTAACTATCAGTAACCATCATTAACCGTCATGTATTGACCATTATTATCCATCATTAGCCATTAATAACTATCATTCACCATCACCCATCACTAACCAACCCTGGTTGGTGGTTTCAAGCCCTAAAAATATGAGTTCGTCAGTTGGGATGATGACATTCCCAATATCTGGAAAATCATCAAACACCAACCAGATTTAGTTTGATATAGCTACCAACCAGATTTAGTTAGCCCTAATCAGCTTACTTTACCATCACCCATCACTAACCAATCAGATAGTAAAAACATGGTGGCGGCGCCTGTGGAGCGACCGCGCTCTTTCATGTTTTTCAGAGGTCGTTTTAGAGGTTCAAAGCACAATTCCCTGTAAAACGCAGGATTTTATTCATGAACCTTGCTCGATCGATGTTAAAAAATGGTTCAAAAACATTGGAGGCGCGCCTCAAAATTAACTTCGTGTCGTTTTCGCTGTAGCGAAAACGCGATTTTTGGAAAAAATGGATTTCGAAAACATATTCCCGAAACACATTCGAAGCTTTTTTACATCTGCGGTCTGCTCACTGAAGTTACTTCAACATCTTCACAACGTAGCATCCAGAGCGTCCCTGAAGTTACTTCAACATCTGAACGACGTAGCATGACGTAGCATCACATCCTTCCGGGAGCCGACATGAACGTTATTAGCCCACCCCATCCCCCCCCCACCCCACCCCACCCCATGCTCTGACGTAGCGATTGAAACAGGACGAACATCCCCAAGAACCAGACATTCACGTCAAATCAACATGAAAACATTAAGACCAACTCAACATCACATGGTAAAATTTACAACGGTGCGGTCGCCTGAGAGGCGCCGTCACCAAAAACATATATTAACCATAGATCACCATATATTAACCATCATTAACCATTGATAACTATCATATATTAACCATAGGTTAACCATCATTATCCAGGAAGATTAACCATTATTAACCATCATTATCCAGGAATATTAACCATAGATTAACCATCATTAACCATGGTTCCAGTCACCACCAACCAGAAGCAAATTTCCAACCAACCCATCCGCCTCCTGGGCCTCGGCCGAGTTCAGGACCAGCCACAGCAGCAAGGCATCCTGATGGCCTCAGGTTGCTATTTGCGACGGTGAGTAGCCACCCCCCCTTTTTGGCATGGCAATTTTACTACGAAAAAATAGGGGAAAATGATGATGAATAGTAGAAACTATGGGAAAATGATGGGAAATAATGATGGTTGTTGGTTTTTGCTACCGCCGAAAAGTAGTTCGATATATCTACAACTTCGACAGTTATTGGAGTTATGTTCACCAACTCTGGGACTCGGTTTCGGTTAGGTATTTTACCAGCAAAAAAGGTGACTTACTGGTGGTCTAATGGGGATAAAAATGATACATTCTATGGTGGTCTAATCTAATGGGGATAAAAATGGTGACTTACTGGTGGTCTAGTCTAATGGTGACTTACTGGTGGTCTAATCTAATGGGGAAACAAAAGACTTGACTGTTGGGAGCATAGCAATGACAAACCGAACTAGCAGATGGTTTTATGAACCAGGAAACAAAAACTGCGGGGGCCCGCCCCTTATAGTTGAACCAGGATATGATTTATGGAACTACTGATGTTTACACCGGTTTATAGTGACTATAAGTATAGCAAGTAAGACTTAGAGTTTGTGGGATAAATTGGGATGATAGTGGGATATGAATGAAAATAATGAAGGGGTAGTGGAATGCGGTGGGAAATTAATGGCATATAATGGTTACAATTGTGTGGCGCCCCGGTTTGGAATCGCTAAGTTGTTAAACAGCAATAGGAATAAATATGAATAAATTATTCTCGGGTTTATGGTAGATATATCTGTGGTTAGCTAAGTTGATTTTGAAACTATGCAAATTCTTGGGTTTGTGGTAGGTGCATCGAACTGGGTAAACCAGTTCGCAAAATTGCACCATGGTCAAGTTACATGGGATGGGAAAATGGGATATGGTCATCCATCACATAATGGGAATCGTTATGATGATACCTATTTATGTTGATAAGTACCATGGCATACTGGTTGGTGGTTTCAACCCCTCTGAAAAATATTAGTCAGTTGGGATGATTATTCCCAGTATATGCAAAAATAAAAAATGTTCCAAACCCATCTTTGTCCCATCTTTGTCTTACGCACCGTCAGGGTCACGCGCTGACGGCCCGCTTTCAGGCAATCAGACAGATGAGACGTAAACCTTGGGAAATCTCTGGTCCTCCTTGGCCAAAGGGAGAGACTGGATAGCTTTAGATGTACGTCTTATACCTTCTGGGCAGTGTTGGAAGAGCCATTGGTCGATCATCCCCAGTCTGGAGGGGTTCCATGGAAGGGCCAGGCAGCCCGTATGGAGCAACAAAGCCTCAGACTCCGGGCGGCAGAATTTGTACACACACCGAAACTGCAGATGCCTGAGACATTCTTTCAGAACCTTGGCCATCCATCGAGCACGCACCAGGAAGGAGATCTTCAGCAGGTCGACTTCAGGGTGATCATTTCCTTGCTTCCAGCCACTAAGATGCAAGGGCCCAAATTCACCACACAAAGAAAAATCAAGGTACAGCTGCCACTGAGATACCCACACCACCGGATGAAGAGGCTCAGAAACTGCTTGCCAAAACCAAGATAAAATTGTGCGGACCATGGGATCTCCGTACCACCTCACTGCAGTAGCAGGAATAGTGAGCTCTGGGAGCGCACTCCATGCTCCAGAAGGCACAGGAGGGGAGCAGCACAACTCCTCCCGAACTCCATCTTCTGCATCACGATCCTCTTGAACCACTGCACGGCTGATCTTCAGTAAAACATGTTGAACCTGCCGAGATATTTGAAGACTGGCATCAACAGCATGAACATGAGCAGAGTAAAAACCCCAAAAATTCTGCGGCCGACTCCACTGGGCGCTGTTAGCGGCTTGGTCGACCAAATGATTATGCCAAAAGCACCATTCTTCCAGCGGCGATCTCGCGCTGTGAACCTGTTGGTGAGCAGCAACTTTGGACACCTGGATTTGATCCTGTGCAAAATCGCCCAGGGCTACAGAAATATGTCGCCAGAGATCTGAGTGAGCACTGTTAATGCGAAGCTCTTTACCCTGGAGTAATTTCCTAAGACGGACAACAACGGCATTACAATCAGACCACAAATGAATGGGCCCATCGTGCGTTCTGGCAGCAACTAGGGCTCTCCAAATGGCAAAGATTTCTGCACGGTATGAGGGCTGGAGCAGTCCCGGCATCGGACCTGAAGCAACAACCTGACTAGCAGCACTATCATGAATACATGCATTAACGACTGCCCATGCAGCAACCCTGCACTGAGGGCTGGCTTGGTTCAGGCAGCTGCCGTCCGTAAACAAATGAAGGCATTCAGGCGTTTCATGCAAAATCACATCTGTTGGCATAGGGATCGACGCAAGCATCGTCTGCCATGTGGTCATGGTGTGTGGGCGGATACTCCATCCATATCCAGTGAGAAACTCCGGCAACGTGGGAATCAATTTGACAACATCAGGCGACACTTCCGCACGCAAATGAGCAAACTTTTCACACTCCCAAAAACGGTGGAATTGAGTAATGTGAGACCCGTTCAAACACTTATGAAACAGAATTTGCTCATCAGGGGCCAGTTGATTCACCCACCTACGAGTACTCTCAGCGTCTGCATGCTGCAAGTCTTTGAACCCTGGTCGGTGGGACACCTTTTGCGCAACCACGTGTTGCCAGGCACGGGATGCCCGGAGAACAATCTCAGACAAGCTCGCTTCAAACAGTCCAAAACTGCCAAAGACATCAACAATTTGACCATGACAAGAGACATGCCATCCCAACATCTGTATCCTACTAAGCAACGTCGCGGTGATGCCATTCGCAGGAAGTGTTGTGTCTCCTTGCACAAGTTGGATGAGCCTTGGCATGACCTGAGAGGGTTCTCCACATTCTCGAATGCAACGGATTGTTTGAACAATTGCCCAAAATTGAGGATCTGCAGTAGGGGTCTCAATCAGCCCTAGTTGAATCCATGGACTGCAACCAGCAGCTTCAGCATCTAAGCCACGCATCGCACCAGAGCGCAAACCATGGAATGCAGCATCACTCAACCCTGTAGAAGCCACTGCGTGGAGAGCTCGTGGCCAAGCAGCAACACGAAGGGCGCGCACTTTGATGGCATATCTGCAGGCTGACACCTTAAGCGTAGGCCAAACAGAACCCATACAATTGACTCTATCCATGAGGGTGGAGTTAGTGTGTTTGCGTGACATTTGAACATGTGCACCTAGATTCTTTCCCCCTAAGAGAACCTTTGAACCCTGTGCTCTCAACTGATGACGCCCTTCAGAGGTCAGGGACCATGCATAGCATTTGCGCTTGTCGACTACGAGATCCATGGCATGAATGAACCTGTCAAGGCATTGTTGAGCTCCTTGGACAAAACTATGGTGGCTGCACAGGAGCTGCCAATCATCGACATACGACAAAGCCTCACACATGGGAAAGAAAGCCTGTTGCCATCGGTGAAATGCCGCATCGACCAAAACCATCGCTACACAGCTAAGCCCACAGCCTTCTGGGAATCCAGTGACACTGGGAACACCTTCTGACAGTGAATTGCGAATCAGGAAATGCCTCTTCATCTGGGACAGTGCACCTGCCCATGCAACGAGGACAAAAGGCGGCAACCCGACATGGGCGGCAATCTCAAAAACTGCAAGCCTTGGCAACATGTTGAATGCTTTTTGTAAATCCAAAACCAAGCCAGACAAGGCAATGTTTTGCTGGTAGGACCATTCAATTGCCCACAACAACTTTGACCAAAGCTGAGTTGCATGTCTTCCCTGACGGCTCCCATAAAGGGTATCTGGGAGGTGCGGTTCCAACACTGACAAGGCTTTCTTGGCATGAAATGAGCTCCAGCACCTATATAAGAGGCCAAACACAGTGATGGGCCTAAAGTCCGAAGGGCTCCCAGGAGTCGGGACTTTGGCCAAACTCACCACTTTGCCGTTCACCACTTGGGCCGGCCAGCAGCCTTGCATTTCAGCAGTGGAAAACATGTCACAAAAGGCCTGGAGTGCTTCAGTGGGCATGCAGCGCAAATCAGTCAAACGTACCCCGTCTAGGCCATGAGAAGAAGATTTCTTTTTCATGTGAATCACCGTATGCAAGTCATCTGAACCCATCGACTCCCACTGAAACCGGTTAGGTCGGAGATGTTGTTTGGCAAAATCGATGATGACATTCCACCTGTCAGCAGGCACCTCAGCATGCCTCATCCAACGTTCACGCCATGCAGAGATAAACTCACGAGACAAATCTTCATGGGACCCAATCATCCTAGTTTGGGAAACAACACCCCCTGCATCCAAAAGATCCGCCACCCAAATAGCATCATCTTCACGATGAATAACATGGAGCGGGGTACCCTCAAAGTGGATAGGGCGATCAGGGTTGAAGTCACAGGGTTCCTGCAGGACAAGTTTTTGCTCTTCCACACAAACTTCTTCGACTGTTGCACGAATGGGCTGCAGCAGCAAGTCAACACCTGGGACAGAGGGTGGTTTGATATCAGCAAAAACCAGGTTCGGATTCTGGCATCTACAAAACCGGGCATACTGGCGTGATTGCTTAACCAGCATCTTTTCCAAGTCATGGACTGCCATCGATACTGAGTCAAACATTGCCCACGCACACTGTACATCAGGTGGGCACACAGGGCATACGGCCGGAGCACCATCTGCGCGAAATTGGCTTTCACTCCACCACAAAGCAAAATTAGGTTGAAAACCAGAGCTTCTCAAAATGGCACCCCAAGACTCCGCTTTTTGGATTGCAACTTGATCTGAGCTACTTTGGCACAGCCTAGCATAAGCTTGCAAACGTCGGGCCTGTCGGACCCATTGCGAGTGTCTTTTGGAGGAGCCGAAATACTCAGGTTGGAAATCACCTATCCTTCCAGTTTTGAGTGGGGTCAACTGAGGCAATCGCGTCTTTTTCCTTTGCAACCGCTGTGCTCTTCCACAGGATTTGGCCGGCACTGGGAACGGGCATTGCTGAGCAGCGCTGGTTTCAATTTGGAGCCAAAGTTCCTGATAAGCACGGGTGGGATCATCAGTCTGATTCCACTTGATGTTCCGCCCGAAATCAGGGGGCCAAGGGAATGCTGCTGGAGCAGGCCACGTGAACACCTTCGGCATCGCATGGGGTGATTTGAACTTTGCAATCAAAACCGCATGATCAGGCCAAACGTCGTGCAACACTTCTATGCCACAAAAGATTTCTTGCAATTCAGGAGACAGGTAGAGAAAATCCTTGCGTGTCTTGGATTTACAGGTATTCTGGATCTGTATGCCCCATTTCTCAAGGGCAAGATCTTGGACATCACGAAATCCTGCTTGCATGAGAATGCCAAACGCTGGAATCGAGTCCTGACAAACGTTCCAATCGCCTGCTACAAATCTCGGTCCAGTGCAAAGATGGCAAACATGTGAAGCTACATGGTGAAGCAAGAATTCCGTGTTGCGCAAATATCTGTGGCCATCAGGTTCCCCATAAACGGTACCCCCGGAAATCCAAACATCAGCCAAAAGCGTGGTGGACAAAACTGCTCTACCGGAGTTGGTGACACTTGACGGCATACCCGACGGCAAACCCCGCGTCGGGTGCTTGGAAAGCATTGCAACTCCCCTCCAAGAAGGTTGGGAAGTCAAACATGGCTTCAATGAAGACTGATCCGAGACTAAATAGTCATGGCCAGCAGTGGTTGCACGCAAACCTGCTCGAAATTTTGAAACATCCTGACCATAAAAATGAGTCTCGGAAATGGCCCAAATGTCGCCGGCAGCAAGATGAGAACCAAAATAGTGAGCTTTATTTCTCAACCCTGACGGATTGAATGCCCCAATGGTGAAAAAGCAATCTTCAAAATGAACTGCTGGTCCAGGGTTTGAAGCTTCCCCCACACGTAACAACCCAGTCAAAATCATCATCAGCAAGCCAGGGCGGTGGCACGGTCGGCAACTGGCCCTGCAAGCAACAGCTTGTCGTCGTGGAACTGTGAAACTGAACAAGCAGCAAATGGGGAACAGGATCGCCAAAATTCCCTTTGGCATCACGAACCATGCGATCATCAAGCAAAGATAAAAGATCAAAAGGAAAAACGATCCCTCCCCACACCGTCACTCCATCGTATCGTCTCTTGGTCTTTTAGAAAGTAGACCTCTGATCTGCTCCATCTGCTGTGTGAACATAGCCTGGATTCCCTGGGCATGAGTCTCAAGCTGGTCATGGAAGGACTGGCTCTGCTGTTGGATCTGCTGCTGGACAACCGCAAACTGTTTGTTGCTGCTAGCAAAGAATTCATTCATCTGTGTCTCCAAGGTCTGGTTCTTGGACATCAACAATTGGACCTGCCCTTCCAAAGTGGACATTCGCTCAGGGATATCGTCTTGCTCCATAGCAGTGGGAATCTTCGCCAAAATGGCGGTTTGCAATCTGGCTTCGAGCTGCTGCAGTCCATCTGATGCAGTGGATCCAGCTTGGAATCCTTGCTGCCGGTTGTATGGCCCCCATGGGTCAGAACTCAGCCATGGATCTGTATCACCTGCCTGTGGGCCACTGTTGGAGCCGCACAATGACAGGGTACTCACTGAGCCAACAGTTGACGGGGCAGGTTGCTTGATCTGAGGATTCTGCTCCTTGTGTTTGGTGATCACCACTTCGCCATGAGATGTCAAAATGATCGCCTCTGGAGGATCATCCACGGCCTGCAACAGCCACATACTACCACGTCCTGGAATTGGTTGCATGGGTTGTAATGCCTTCACCTGCCATCCCACCTGCTTCATCGCCTTTGCGATCGCGTGGCGATCCGAGCCCCACGGAAAAGGCCCAGCAACATGGTGATTTTTGGGCCCGCTGGGCAAAAAGGCCGTTTCAGGTCTCACCAATTCGTGCATCGACTTGGCTTGTGCAGCAAGGACTCTGAAACCCTTTCTTTCACCAATGCGCGCAAACCCGATTATGGCAGGATTGGTCTGGCGAAGATGCGCCATCTCACTGGCATTCATGCGGGGTGTCCAGATGACAGCATACTCCGGGAGAATCTCCTTACCGTCTGGCGTTCTTGGCTCGATGTAAACACCGGATTGGCCACTGAGAGGAAGAATCAACTTAAGCAAAACTGCAGGGACTCGCAAGCACACCGAGAAAATCTCGGCCTTCTCAGACTTCGTGGGTTTGAAAGCACCTGATAGGAACTGTCTTCTCCAGACGTCCATGATGGGGTCCTTAACAGCAAGTTTCTCATGGTTCTGCCATGAGTCACACTGGCAGTTTTCAGTCATGCACTTCCGTAAAATTGGCAGCAAAAGGACCAAATGCTTGATGGGAGCTGACACAAAATCTTCCCACTGACCTGAGAACTCGTCACGATACACCATCATTTTGAGCGACACCACATCCAAATTGTCAAGTTCAACTGCAGCACTTGCAGCATGCTTTTCAATGAATCCTTGGCCCAATTGGACCAAGGTCGCTTCAACAAGCAAAGGCTCGCGATTTGCGACACACATGCATGGAATCATGACTGTGGCATGGGGCAGTTGCGTGACAAGTTCGGAACTGACAGGACCAAAAACCGCAAGGGCCAAGGGTTCAGTAGAGACACGCTTGCCAGCTCGCAGATATGGGGCAGCCTCTTCGAGAGTGATCAGTGCGACACCACATGCGACTGGACCGATTTGCTGAACAGCAAGTTGTGGAACCGGAGTACCTTGGCATCGGAATGTCCCTTCCAACAGTGCGAGTTTGGCTGGGTCAATCATGTCTGGTGCTGCTGGCTTGGGCTTGAGTGGAACACTCTTCTGCTTTTTGCCTACTGGCAGACTCTTGTTGGTATGAATCACTGCCTCAAGTTCTTCAGGGAGGATGAACTGGAATCGTACATTCGACCCCTGAGCTTTCAAAGATCTCCATGGGTTCTTGGCTTTCAGGGCACTGGCAACATTATCGCTGCCGATGGCTTTGATGGCTTGCTGTGCACGGGTTTCGGCTTTAGCTAGCGGGACACCATGCTTGACAAGTTCCTCGGACAAACTTTGAACCAGGAGACTGAACGGACCTGAACCCCAAGCAACTGGACAAACGCAACACGTTCCCTGATACAAAGCCTCGACAAACTCAGCTTTCTTGGCCACATGAAAGTGTTCAAGCTGTCTGAAGGTGCGAGGCAGCTGGGTACCTGTTACCAAATGGCTAACGAATGCCATTGCAGCAGCTCCACACAGTTGGTGGGGTTCCAAAGCATTCGGCATCACGTGTTCAACCGCAGCATGAAAACCCAGTTCTTCTTTCAGGAGGTTCAAAACAGGCATGATTGTGTCAGAAGAAACAATTTCATCAGCAATTCGGTGGGCGACAATTGTGTCCCGATGATAGTTGAACCAAACCGGAAACCAATGATCGTTGAGGAAGAAAATGGCAACAATGTGAAGGCCTTGTTGAATGGCACCTCTGTTGGCACGACACCAGGTTTCACACATGCCTTTCCCAATCATGTCCCAAGTAGAGAGCAATAAGGGGTCCATCATAACAAAACCTCTTTCGTTGGCGTTCGGGGACGGCGAACGTTCATGCTCTCTCAACAGCCTCAGCAAATGAAATCTGATTTCATCATCTCCCCACTGCCTTTCATGTTCACGCATCAAATCGAGGCGAGCATCCTTGGAGATGCATTGGTGGGAGAAACTTCCTGACATGGCATCAACAGATGTACTACTTGAGGCAGTTGTGGCAGCTTGGGTGATTGGAGCACTTCCAGCAAGCCCAGGTGTCGTTGGATTGACATCCCCAGTTCCCCAAACCCAAGGACGATGGGTACATTGGTTCATCTTGACAGCTTCTGCAAATTCATTGCGAAGTCTATCATGAATGATCACAACTTCATCATGATTGGTTGGAAGCATCGTGTCCAAAAGTGAATGGTGCAAAAAGGCAACAGCCATGGCGCCACATCGATCAGAAGAGAAAAACAACCTGTGATGTCGGATGAAGGCAATCTGTGAAAATCCCAACGCTTTCCCAATGGCCTCAATGGGGGCCTGCAGCATGGAGTGATTTCTGGAAGGGTCATCCCACGTGGTCACATGCAAGTTCCCAGCAACAGGGGTCATGATCAGCGGGATCCAGTGTCCTTCAATGGAACAACATGTGATGACAGGTGATTCTTTGCTTTTCACTTCCGAAAAAAGATCCATACCATTCCGCATCCTCATCAAACCCATGGTGAACCCATCCAGTGAAAAGAAGGGGGTCAATGACAAAGCACTGTTTGGGGAAAGACCCAGAACACCCTTGCTGATACTTGAAGTACGACACTCGCAAATTCCCCAAATGGAAACGCAGTTCATCATCAGCCCAAACCCCTTGTTGATGCAAAAGGATTGCATGTCGATCAGTGGACGCCAACAATTGAAACTGGAGCGCCTGCAAATGATCTAAGGTCCTCACGACAGGTGTCTGAAGCTTCAAGAACTGATCTGCATGTAACGCTAGCAGCGGGGCAGCTGCCAGCAATGAAATGCTGGAGTTGTCACTCTGACCAGTCACACTTGCACTCCCTGGACCACACGGCACTGCACTCTGGACCTGAAAGACTTCTTGGACAGGCTCGGACCATTCGACAGTCGGAGACACTTCGAAAGGCTTGGACACAGACAAACCGACACGGCAGGCAGACATGTCATGGACTGGGACTGGCTGGGCTTCGACTTCGGTAACGGACCTAGGCTGAGACATGGGACTGATTTCATCAATGAAACCTTGGCAACGGATGCAAATGAGCTGGCCAAGTTCGACCACATGTGACAAGGGGACTTCGACCCCATGAAAATTGCAGACCTGATCAACCTTGAATGAGCCAACCAATTTGGATTGAGCATGAATGATGTCCTGAACTGTACACGGCGTGTGCAGGGCAAATTTGATCGGAGTGGAGCATTCCTGCATGAAAATCACTACACACTCATCTTGAGATGGGGGCTGCAAGACCTTGTCCATAGGGGGTGTTTCAAACCACGGGGTTGGTTCAGCGTCTTCAGCATCAGGCATAGAGACATCAATGTCGATCTGGGTGGCAATCTGCTGGGGGACACTACGATTGCACTGCTGCTCACGGATGATCAGGTCAAGAACGGATGCAATACACAACTTCTGACCTGCAAGAGCCGGCCAATTGGGAGGATGCATAAGCTCATGGATGGACAAGTGTTCAAAGCCCTTCCAAAAGGACATCAATGATGCCAGGTTGTTGTCATGAACAGGCTCCTGCTCACACGGCCAGACATGTCGACATCGAACAAGAGTCCACGACATCAGTGCTTGCAAAACTGCACATGGTGAAAACTGCGAATGGGCGTTCTTCAATTCACCTAATCGTTCAGCTAATGTGGCAAAGATCCATGCCACTTGCAAGGGTGATGCCATTTGGCCGGAGGCCGAAAGAGTCAATCTTGGGTTTGCCTTGAAGTCGATGACAGGATCAAATCCATTCAGAGCATTGCATTCACATGGGTGAACATGGCGAAGTCTGCGAAGCTCAGGTGATGCAGCGGAAAAAACAAGCAATCCAAACAACCCTTTTTCCTGGAGCCGCAATTGCGAGAGTCCACAAGGCCGACACCCGCACTGGCAAGCCAGAAGTTGGTTTCCCCACATGTGCAATGCACAGGGAGCACACCCTTCAAAGTTGAGAAGATATTTGAAATACGCTTCACACTCACCACCAAAAGCAATCAGTTCTTCTTGACACAAGGCGAGACATTCTTCATCAGAAGCATCCCATGGCAAGATACCTGGAAGGACCTGGTTCACCTTGGCAACAACACATGATTTCGGCCATGGGACCAAAGGAATCTTTCCGATAAATGGAGCAGTAATCAACCACCATGATCGTGAACGTCTTGATGGCCAAATGTCGCTGAGTTGAAGTTCCACTTGGCTGCATGAAAACTTCGTGATATCCAAAAACTTCTGGATCTCCCCTTTCACGTACTGGTTTGAAGCAGCTGGAGTGACACATTCCAACACCAGAACTTGCACTTGGACAAAAAAGGCCATCTGGAGGATACCTCTGAGAGATTGAGCTCTGGCATCCAGTCCCCCTTTCTGGTCGCCCAGCCTTGAAAATGGCTGGCAGGCGAAACCTGCGGCCATTGTTCCCGCACCCTTAGCAACATGCCATACTTTGCACACTGTTTCCAAATCATTCACATCACCAGCAATGGTAGGAATATCACTTTGGCGTTCGTACAGTTGGCACATTTTTTCATTGAAATCCACGGCAACGACAGAGTGAAACCCACATGCAGAGATACCCTGTGCCATGCCACCAAACCCCGAGCATAACTCAATCACTGCACAGATCGAGTCCCAGGACGGAGGTTCATGTCTGAAAACTCTCGTTTCCTCATCAATCACTAGAATAGGTCTAGGATGTTGGGATTTCATCAAAGCGTTCATCAGGGTATAGGAGTCATTCGAACCATCTATGAGTCCAACAGCCAGAAAGGAAATACCATCGCTAAGGGAGTTGAACAGATGAGCATCATGGGCACTGTCCCAACACTTCAATTGTCCAACAAGGCTTAATCTTTCCCCAGGCAGTCGATCAGCAAAAGTAGGCACCAAAGGTCCAGCAAACATCCATGAAACACTGCGGCCCTCGCTTGGAATGGACGGCCGTACCACGGGAAGGGGACTTGGGCTGTCACGGCTTGGCAAATCATGTGCAGTGAAAGTCAACACAACAAGAGTAGGCCGCAGCTTGTATTTTGCCTTTGGAAGCGGTCTCTCGATGCGTCTAGGTCAATCTCACTTGTCAGCCGCGTAGGCTGTTGGATTGGCCTTCTTTGCAATGGAAATGCCTTGGATCCTGAGAAAGTTGTTGCGATCGTGAGTCATGGATCCGGGCACTACACCCGAAAACCTCAGGAACATCGGATTGCTCAGGTAGTTCGACATGAACAAATCATTGTTCGTAATCCACGCTCCAGCATTGTCTTCGATAACCAAATTGGTACCAGCCAACAAAGCTGTGGTCTTAATGTCTGATGCCTGTTCATCCAGTGCGCGGATGTGATTATCACCTGGATTGTTTTCACCACCAATTGTTTCTGCTGTCATCCCCTTGGTCAACAAGACCGAAGGATCTGCTGACAACATCAGGCCTTCATACTTGAGGAATCTGACTCCATGTCGAGATGACTCAGCTTTGAAGACATTGGCGATCTCCGTTCTGACAGATTGGATTCCAAGAATTCCAAATGGGTGTGAAATAGTTTTAGGATTTTTTTTTTGAGCAGGTTTGGGATTTTTTTTTGGATTTCTTGGCTGGTACCATTTGCCTAGTGTTTGCAACGGTTTGGAACTTGAATTTGTCATTTTGCATGGTATTTGCCACATTTGGGCATGTTCACCTTCCATTTTGCATGGGATTTACTACATGTGGGCATGTTCACCTTCCATTTTGTATGGTATTTGCCACATTTTGGCATGTTCACCTTCCATTTTGCATGGGATTTCCTACATGTGGGCATGTTCACCTTCCATTTTGTATGGTATTTGCCACATTTTGGCATGTTCACCTTCCATTTTGCATGGGATGTTCTACATGTGAGCATGTTCACCAAAATATTTACAGATGCGGAAGCTTGGGATTAGATAAAATGCGGGTGGGGGGGATTGAGGGAGGGCGCTAGCTATCTATCCAGCTAGCTAGCTATCTAGCTATGTAGCTAGCTATCTATCTAGCAAGCTAGCTATCTATCTAGCAAGCTATCTATCTATCTAGCAAGCTATCTATCTATCTAGCTATCTATCTACCTATCTAGCTAGCTATCTTGCTAGCTATCTATCTACCTATCTAGCTAGCTATCTTGCTAGCTATCTATCTACCTATCTAGCTATCTAGCTAACTATCTATCTAGCTATCTAGCTATCTAGCTTTCTATCTATCTAGCTATCTATCTATCTAGCCATCCAGCTGTCTATCCAGCTATCTAGCTATCGAGCTATCTAGCTAACTATCTATCTAGCTATCTAGCTTTCTATCTATCTAGCTATCTATCTATCTAGCCATCCAGCTGTCTATCCAGCTATCTAGCTATCGAGCTATCTATCTAGCTATCTATCTATCTAGCTAACCATCTACCTATCTATTTAGCTATCTATCTATCTATCTAGCTATCTATCTAGCTACCTCTTTATCTATCTAGCTAGCTATCTATCTATCTAGCTATCTATCTAGCCATCTATCTATCTAGCTATCTATCTAGCCATCTATCTATCTAGCTATCTATCTAGCCATCTATCTATCGAGGTATCTAGCTATCTATCTCTCTACCTATCTATCTATCTAGCTGGCTATCTATCTATCTAGCTATCTATCTACCAAGCTATCTATCAGCTATCTATCTATCTATCTATCTGTCTATCTGTGTATCTATCTATCTATCTATCTATCTATCTATCACATGTAATCCTGTCAGCTTTCCAGAGAAGGTTAGTTCGCAAAAACCAACTAATGTAACTTGGGTTTAAGTTTAAATTAAAAAAAAAGCGGGAGGGGGGGATTGGGGAGGGCGCAGCGCCTCCCCCCAAAGCAGAATGCAAGCACCTCTTCTCACATGTTACGTTGCTAGTTTTCAAGAGAAGGTTGGTCATGTGATACTCAGGGATGTAAATACTGTGCAAAATGCATCTTACATGAAAATCAAGTATTTAAAGCAGGCAAAGCAAAAAAAAAAGCAGAGAAGCAAAAAAGCAGAGAAGCAAAGAAACAGGAAACGCGCAAAAGCAAAACAGCAGAAAGGCAAAGAAGCAGGAAAAGCAGAAAAGCAGAGAAGCAGGAAAAGCAGGAAAAGCAGAGAAGCAAAGAAACAGGAAGAACAGAAAAGCAAAAAAGCAGAATCCAAAAATAATTCCTAAACCTGATCAAAAAAAAAAATCCTAAAATAGTTAGCCCTCCATTCCAAAATTCCATCCGACGGTAGTTCTGCTGGCATCATACCATCCTTGGGCGTCCAAACCTTGAAAGATCCGAGCCATGGCTTCATCTTGGGCCGGGGTTCTCTGGGCCTCATAAGATTTCCTGAAACCACTCAGCATAATTCGAAGAGCTTGATCGTCCAGCCCGTAGGTACAGCCTAAGACAAAGTTCATTGCCGTGTCCCAATCCATACCACTTGCGTACGCAAAAGTAAGCGCACTCATGGTGATTGGGTGAATACACCACCTCAACTGCTCTGCATTGAAAATCGCCATCAAATTCAGGCGTCCCACAAAGTGCTGAGGAGTGAAAGGCTGCCCTGCATCGGGGTCGTTCGGAAATGGGCTGAAGGGAATTTGAGCTGCATAGATGGATGACTCATCACTCATCTTCACTGTTCCATGCAATTTCGTCAGAAACACTGACAAATTTGACATCTCCAAATTGTTGGCTAACATAGAAAGCTCAGCCAGCACAGAGTTGTCAAACTGGTATTGCACGTTCAGGTCGAGGATGGGAGATACATCTTGTTTTTGCATCGCCATCGCTCCCAACACAAAGTCGACTGTCAAGTCGCTCACGGTCAAGAGGAATGGAACGATTGGCATCTGCAAACTCTTTTCACACGACAGCAATGTTCACTGATCCTTTCGGAGACGGGAAAGACATTTCCTGCCTGAGAGCAGAAAATCACCCTCTTCCCTGGGTCTGTTTTGAGGCTCAATTCGAATCCCTTCGCTTCGGGAAACAGTTTGGCCCCACCCTGGGTTTTCTTGGGTTTGTCTTGGGCTCCCTTCCCCTGCTTTCCGCCACTCTTCGGAACCTGTTGTTGCTCAGGCTCAGGAGGTACATCCTTCGCTTGATCTTCAGGTTTCGGTGGCGTGGTGCCATCTCCGGTAGACTTCTTCTCCTCCTTGTCCTTTTTGGCGGTGAAGGCAGTCTTTATCACCGGTTTTGGCGCCATGATCACAGACACAGGTTCCAAATCTTGAACCAAGGCTGCAATCAAGGATCATATAAATACTCACACATGTGCGGATATGTGAGTGAATCCATACAAAGATTTCATGCTCCTATATTTCAAGGAACATTTTTCTAGTTCCAAACCACCAACCAGCATATGTTTGTATTTTCTTGATTCTTGTTGGTTCTTATTGGTTACAAATCCGTTTCCTGATAATTTGTAAGACATGCAGACGTCCCACCAGATTGAAGTTGGGCCATGAGGATGATTGCCCTTATGTATTATGCTAAACCCAGTTGTTGACCTTAATCTCACCATCAATCGCAACAAAATTATTGCCATGTTCCTTTAAACATTGCTAAACCATCATTACAATGTTTAAACTATCATTACGTTTTGTATTATGCTAAACCAATCTTAATCTCACCATCATGTCCCTCCGGTGAAGATGATTCCTTGATCCAATCCATTGGGGATTACCCCATCGCCGTAAATAAGTACTAAGTAATAAGGAATAATAAGTAATAAGTAATAAGTGACAATAGGAAGTAAAAAGTAACCAGTAACAAGTAACTAAGTAATAAAAAACAATACACAACATGTAATATAAACAATAAATAGTAATTATATTACTACAATTCTGATCCACATTGCCAAACAGCTGTCGACAAAATATAAATCGTTTTCACATTGCCACGTGACCCTCCAGCATCTTCATGGTCTTCTTCGGTTCTTTCACCAGCATCACTGCCTCATTGGCAGAACCCGTGCAGTGCAATGGGTTCCAATGCACATCTTCATGTCTATTTACTAGACATAGCATATATATATATATATATATCATGCAAATAATCATGCAGAACTAAAAGTGGAATATAATTAATGCGGTACTATATAACATGTTGTATATCATAATAACAAAATGTATGTCCATAAAAAATATGTCTTACAATATTATATATCTACTGCATCTACATATGCCTATGCATCATCTATAATATACATATATATATATATATGGGTGTGAGTTTTGTGCTTTTCCAAATGCCGTGCTTTTCCCTTGTCTCTGCGCGTATTTGTGTTTTTTCAGAACATGTGTGATCATACGTGCTCGTTTTCTCGATCGCCATTAGAAACATTACTGCACAATATGTGTCCTTTCAGAGTTGGGTCGGTGTGGGTCATTTCTTAGGGTACCTCAATCCCCTGAAATAGATATGTTCAGATCGAAATGTGGTCCTGCAGGCTCACAACAGGGAATCACATCATACCGCATGCCACACCGTACCCGTGTCACCAATAAAAAAAGGAAAATCAGGGACCCAACGACCAAACATGGAGAGAAATAGAGTCAAAGATGCCCCTTGCTGCCTTTGTCCTCCAAAATCTATCAAAATCTTATATAGTCCATTCTAGAGCCCGAAAAACGATGGTTTCCTTCCTTTCAAAACCTCCCCTGAAAATCAGCTCAATTATCCTGAATGAAAATTATGAATTCCCCCAAAAAAACAGAAGCCATCCAGAGTCACCCACTGATCCCAGATAAAAAACATACACGAGCATCAATTAACATCCCATTAAAAAAAGGCAAGAACATAGTCAAGAAAAATCAACCCAAAAGAAAATCACGTCCATTTCAAGCAAAATCGATGAATACATCACACGAAAGTCCATGTGAAAATCCATGGAAACCATGGCCCATTTAGTTCGATGTTTTGTGTTTAAGCAAAATAGTGAGACAATCCATGCGAAAATCCATCCGTTTCCATGGTGAATCTTTGGTAGTCCACCAAAAAAGTGTCATCTTCTACTGGTTCTGGTCAGTGTGTGTCATTGTCAGGATGAGTTTCTAAAGGGTGGGGCCCCCGTTCGATAGCGTTCAGTTGAGATATAAATGGCTGAATTCTATGGTTTATGGTAGATATATGTAGATATAACTATAGATATATCGTGGGGTTTATAAACCAACGTTCACATCACTGGGGGGCACCATCCTGTACCAATCACCATCTTTTTTGCCATAAATAGGTGGTATAAACCATTCCCAAATGAGTGGTTTATTATTGTTTTACTATGTTTTACTCACATTAGTTACAGGATGAGTTTCTACCTAGGTACCGGCATGGAATTCTCCTTCACGAAGTCTTCAAACCTTTCACCCTCTTCATCCAAGCTATCAGCCGTCAAGTGAGTCCACCTAGGGTCAATGCTTGGCCCACGAAAAGGTGATGTTTCACCAGCAAAAAATGTGGGTTTCACAAACCACACTTGGGATTTCAGATGCAAAAAAGGTGGATGTAATGTGATTTAATTTGAATCACCAACCAGACTGGGATTGAGTAAGCCTTCAGCAAACTATAGATGTGGAAAGCCCCGATAGGTTTCCCTACTTTCTATAGATGGCAAATGTTCAATAGTGTTCAATATCTTTGTCAATTAGCTGGGAAGTGGTCAAACATGGCAATTGGAAATCCCCCACCTATAGCCTATAGTTGATTTTCCCATTTTCACCTGCATGTGCAGAGAATTGTCCATTGCCATGTTTGATTACCAGAGGGTAGCTGGAAGGTAAATCCTTAAAATCACCTGGAAAATACTGGTTTCCAAAAATTAACAAAAACCCTCACCATGGGGAATCTGGGTCATGTGAAGCACATCTAAGCGCCAATATCTTTCTGATATGTAGGGTTTAAAACTCAGAAACATGAAGGATATTGTAACCCGAAGTAACCAGCAGTAGTTTGCTCTAAAATAAAAACCTAGCTGGATAGATTATACCCCCATCAACGTAAAAATGAAGATATAAACCTCCCGAACCTGGTTTATACCGTATGTTACCAACTTGAATTCCAGTGAGACAAAGAAGACGTACCTGGAATATACGGAGCATTCAAGCGGGGATCATTCACCCGGTGGCAATCCCAGTTATTGGAGGTATTTTACTACTTCCCATGAAGAATCGCATGAAATGCTGACCATACTTCTTTTTAAATCGTGTTAAATCACCCTTTTCTCATGGTGAAATACCATGAAATACCCAACTTTCGCGATTCCGCTCACATGTTTCGGCCTCTTATTAGGCTCCTTTCGGATTTCCCACGACAAAGGCACGTGAAATTCACCTCCGGCTGGCCAGGGTGGCGGATGGAGGACACGGCTTGGTCGCTTCCATCGGGAATCCAGTAGGCCTGCCGGGGAGAAAATGTGGATCTCTCCAAGGATTTACAAGTGGTTTATCTTACCCATAACATCCCATGACATGGGGGGAAACCCTGAAATAGGAATACCATGGAATACCCCCAAATCATCCATCTTAAGGGGAAATTTTCCTTTGTAAACAATCTATTTGGAGGTACTCCCATTTATGGAAACCCCCACATGTGTTAGTCTGTTTCACACAACTAGATCCCCTTTGATAAGTTTATAAACTATAAATAGCCAGGTATGGTTTATAAACTAATGATGGTGTATGACTTTGGTTGATAACTAGCATATGGTTTATAACTACCTATGGTTTCTTACTGCGGTTTGGACATTTCTATAGCTAGACTGGTTTATGAACTAACTTGTGAGGGGCAAGCGCCAAACAAACGAACCGAGCTCTTCCCAAATTCGAAACATTAACTCCTTCAATAATCCTCCAATAATCCCAGTGTGGTTTGGTGTTTGAATGGTAGTGAAACCCCAACATTTCTGATGGGCCATGGAAGTTGATTCAGCTGGTCCTTAGGTCCTTTTGGGGTAGCTGAAGCTTTCCATAGGCATGGGGTGCCCCAAAAATGGATGGTTCATTTCATGGAAAATCCGTTGAACATGAATGATTTGAAAGTGCCACCAGATTGGAAAACCCCCATTTTGGCTAGCTTCGTTTTGAAATCTTTATAGCTCCAAATTTACATCGTTGATAGCGAATAGTCCCCAATTCCTGCTAGGATCTTTTGATGCTTCAAGACGGCTAAAGGCCCCAAATTTCACAAATCTGGATTAAAAAAAATGATGGGATGATTCCCCCCTGTCAAGCACCATATTTCTTAAATTGGCCAATATCTCACAAAGGTCAACAAATTGGCCATGTGGGGATACCCCAATCCAATAAACGATCCAGTGACGTTGCAAGGTGAGATCGTTATCTAATGCATCCGGCAATCCCAAATTCCATATTGGTTTGTTTTACCATCTGGTTATTTAACATAGCCATGGAAAATCCCTTATAAATGGAGGTTTTAATGGGAAAATCATCTATGAATGGGCCATTTTCCATGGCTATGTTAAATAACCAGAGGGTATCCCATTATACCCCCATTATACCCTCCGCTAGTCAAACATGACAACTGGAAATCCGTTCAATTTTGGCAAGTTAGTGGGAGAATCATCTATAAAATGTGGAATTGTCCAGCAACCATGGTTACCAGAAGGTATCTCAAGAAATGGCGAGTATAAAATCTCATTGAGCAACGTATGCTTGGTCAGGCTGAAGAGCCGTCCTCGAAGTCCATCTTGCGTTCCTCCGCCAGGCTCTCAAATGCTGGCACCATGTCCCTGCGCATCACTCGGATCAAGCCCGACAAGTTGCAGAGCCAGGCTGTGTATCATGAAATAGGCTACCCTCTGCTAGTCAAACATGGCAATGAAAATCATCCACTTGTAGATTTTCCCATTAAATCCTTCATTTGAAAGGGATTTCCCATTGCTATGTTTGATGGGTTTTGGCCAATTCTGGGAAGAATGGGTGGCACAAAGTATACTGAGGTTTTTGCATTGGCACCATATCCCCACTTCACTAATTATGGAACTTGATCTGTCTTTAAGTGTGCGGTCAATTGTTGACTTGACGGCGTAGATATATCTATAGATATCTATAGTATTCCGTCGCTGATGGGGCTTATACACCAACCTTTCATCATCTAACCAAGGTTGGTGCCAAGCTGTATGGATATTTATACTATTGTTTTTCAGCTGATATCTGAGATTATATGGTAGGTATATCTACCATATCTAGTATGGCCATGGGAGGCTCCAATCGAGATCCATCCAGGTCAGATGCTTCATCTGGACATCGGATCATATCGAACTAGTTCATGGGGGCTATCAATTTATATATATATATATTTATTTATATTTATATTTATATTAAGAAGGGTATATCTTAAGGATAAATTCTAGTAGGGACTAGTATAATTGAAACAGGAATATGAGGAAGATGTCATAGGGAGACAATGGGGGACAACCATCACTACAATGAAGATATAATGTGGATGAATTATAAATGTGGATGGATTATAGTGACCTCAATATGACATCATTGGAATGATGGTCAAAGTAAGGGGAATCATCCCCAAATGGCCGAACTTTTCAACCACCATCATCAGGTTTGTGAAACAATTAAACATTGTATTTTATCCGGGGAAATTTGCAGGGATAGTTGCGATTCCGATAGATTGTATATTTGTTTCAAGGTGCTAAGACTGCGGCACCAGCATAGTTCGAAATACGCATTCTACGGCAGAATGTGCTAAACCCAATACTAAACAATCTCTAATGGAGTTTTTATTGGTTCTAAAGTCCACAATATCTCCTTCAAGTAGTAGAGGGCACCACCTTGTATTGGGTTGACCATTAACCATCACTAACATTATGTAATATTGGTTAGATTGAGTTGTCATATTGTCACTTAACCATGCCATTCTATCCATGAATATATCTAAGCATCCATTCATATCATCAATATATGTATTTTCGTTAATATGGTTAAGAATCCCATTACCGTGAATGATTCATTTGCATCCATTTGCCACATCAACAACAATGTCAACCCCGAATTATACAATAACCCCCAGGCTCTTTACTCGTGGGGTCACCAATTGAGTATCGCATTATCACTATTTGGATGGTACCTCCATAATAAATAAACCATAGTTTGTTCATCGGGGGTTGACATTATATCACATTGATGTAGTGGATATCACATCTTGATATTACCATTCATATTACCATTCCTAATCCCATTCACATCCATTAATCCAAATATCAAACAGTGGGTCCTGGATCCAAATGGGTCAATAATGGTCCAATAATAGGTAATGTCATAATATGTTCATAATAGTCCAATAATAAGAATACATTATCTTGGACATATAATGGGTAATGGAATATTATGGACTTATTATGATATTATGATTATGAGTTACCATTAATCATAATGTCATAACATGGGTAATGAGTAAAATGTATCATAGCATGTCGCCATTCATCCTTAATGACATACACTATTGGTTACCAGAGGGTCATGGATGAGGGTAGTTGGTTTATAAACCCCCATCAAATATAGATTATCCCATTAAATAGTGGGTAACCATTAATCAATAGTAGGTCATTATATTCATGATTCCATTCTTAGTCATTAATCAATGGTACATTACCACTGGTTACCATTAATCATAATTGAATCTGGGCAAATTATAATAATTCACTAACCTGAATTAAGGCCATTTGGGGACGATTCCCCTTACTAACTATGATTTCCAGTGAGGTCGCAGTGAGGTCATTATAATTCACCCAGATTGAATATAATTGATACTATCCATCGCACTATTACTTGTTGGTGGTATACCTACCCCTCTGAAAAATATGAGTTCGTCAGTTGGAATTATGATTCCCAATATATATGGGAATCATCGATATCCAATATACCAAATTCAATGGAAAAACATAGTGAATGCATCCGAGCTTCTTCGCCCTCAGCAGCAGCTGCGGCACATCCACCGCCGTGTCTGGCGCTTTGCGTTGCACCGCGGGCGCGGCGGCGCGCAAGGCCCAGCGGGCGATGGCAGCGCTGCTGTCGGCCATGGACAGCGGCAAACGGTACTGGGCGTCCCGGGAACATCGGCAGAAAGATGGGGGAAACTATGGAAAAACCTTGGGAAATGTGGTGAAAATATGTGGAAAATATTGAAAAATATGGTAAAATACAAGGAACATATTTTGAAATATGGGGAACATATGGACAAATATGGGAAAAATACAGGCAACATATGGGAAAAAATATCGGAAAATACAAGGAAAATATGGGAAAAATATGGAAACATATGGCAAAAACTGGGGTTTCAGAAAGTTTAAGCAACAAAAACTTCAGATTTAACCAGTAGAAATGATGACTAACTAACGAAACTTGGCGCGTGATTCTACGCGGAAATCTCTGAAACATAGGAAAAATGCATCAAAGATCGTCTAACCACCTATCATAAATCAATATTGCGTTTTAACCAGCAAAGATTGGTGGTAAATGCCCAAAAAGAAGGATGTATTATTTGAGTTAAGCAGCAAAAATGTGGTGCCAACGATAGTGAAAGAAGAATGATGGATTTGAATGGGTTAAAACGGATGGATAACCAGCAGGAATGGAGTTGTTGCGAGCAAAATAAAGATACGAGATATTTCTTGACTTTTGAAAAAGTTAGGAAACGGCGCGCACTGCGCACAGATCAACAAATGTCGGATACCTTTTCTGCGCAGCAAGCACTTGCCCAAGCAGTGAAAAACTATACCAAAACCTCTGCAGCACTGCCCATATTCAAAGAGGAACACAATATGTGGAAAAGCATCCAGTAGCAAATCAATCCTTAAACCCGCTGAACCACAATTCACCGAGCCTAAACCGTATTTGCTGTAGAATTGGGTCACAACTATCTAGATTTCTTGCACCCCCAGTCTAGTTGGCTTAAATCCTTAGTTGGGTCAAAGGCCAATTTGCCAAGTATAGACCTACTGGACCTACTATTCACCAAGGTTCACTAAGGTTCATCCATATTTGCCATATGTTTCCCAACTTTAAATCTCCAACTCTTCATACTTCAACCAGTGATGGCTCCAAATTGTTTCAAAAACATCCCAATCCACAGTGTAATTAATATCATTCTGTTGGTCAAAATGGTTTTAAACCACCACGTTTGCCGGTTAAACCCCCATTCCATGTCTGTTCGTATTTCGTTAAATCCAATCTTGTCCTTAAAACCTCCCTTTTTGCTGGTTAGGCCACCATCTTTGCTGGTCAAAACCAGGGTTTTGCACCATTTTTGCTGCTTCAACTCCCCTGTCTTCGCCAACGCAGGCTGCCCAGGTTCCGTTTTGTAGTTTGGGCTCAGCACAAAGAGCGCCGGGAACTCCGCAGCACCCAAGTCTTTCCTGGGCTCGGTGCCAAACCCCTTGGTTGATGGAAACGACACCAAAACCACGTTTTCGGGATGCAGCTCCCATTTTCAAACACAAAAAGATACCCCAAATTTTCATCTGTGCCCCTATTTTCCCATGGTTCATCAATACTGTTGGTGGTTTCAACCCATCTACAATAACCATGTTCGTCAAGCGGGATCATCAATCGGCAGGGTTAAATCAAAAAATGTTGAAATCACCAACCTGTTAAAAAATAAAAATAAATCACAGCTAGTACATGGATCATAACTGTGGATACCCTTTCGTAATCAAACATGGCTTCCTGGAACATCCACCATTGTTGATCTTCCCAAAAATGTAAACCTTTGTAGAGGATTTTCCAGCCATGTTTGATTACAGGAGGGTATAATCCAAGTATAATCATGTATAATCCATGAATCACCATAGAGTTTAGCCATTCATCACCATCATTCACCACTAACCATTATAATCCCACGACTCCATGACCACCGGGTTTTCGTCCGGGCTTTCGTCCGGGCGTCATGGTGTTCTCTGCCTGCGTGCCATCCACTGCGATGACCTGGCGAAGCTACGGCTTTATTACACCAGTTGTGTTTGTTGCTTTACCCTCACTATAGGCATATAGCATACATGTATATATATATAATATGTATATATGTATATTTGTATATAGAGAGAGAGAGAGAATTGTACACATATACTACTGTTGATGTATATATGTATATAGAGAGAGAGAATTGCACACATATACTAGTATACATACCCAGCCTAAAGCCTAGTTAGCCTGCGTCATTGCAGTGAAGTTGTTGTACTTCCCATCATAGGCTCGCCTTCATCTCTGGCGCTTGGTCCTTCAACATGGCGGCTGCTTGGCTCATGCGTGGCGCCTCAGGGCCGCAGCTTACGGAGATTGGGAGATCATAGGGATATCATACGATACAAAGGTGTGTTACTTGGGATAAACGATTGTAAACGTCTAAACTATAAGTGGTTTGATCCAAGAAGCTCGGTTCACTTAGCTCTGATCGTTAGGAGGAAAACGTGAAACGAGAAACTAATGGTTTTTACTGCCAAGAGGTGTCCGATTGTAATGGTCCCACCACGGGATTTGACCATTTCATGGAGTTTTCGACGTGGCCATATACCGGGAATTACTTGGTTTATTTTTGTATGTATGCACACACAGACACTTATAATATATATATATATACATATATAGCGACGGACACCCGCTTAGAACGTAATTTTTTCCATTTTTTTTTTGCACTTAGAACGTGGCACGAAATCAACACTTAGAACGTAGGCAAAATTTCATCACTTGGAGCGTAAAACCATCACTTAGAACACAGGGAGGCCAATTCAACACTTAGAACGTAAAACCAACACTTAGAACGTGCTAAGTGATTGCCCGTCGCTATATAAACTATTTTATCGATTTCAAAATTCAATTAAATTTCCTTATATAACGCAATTAAAAATATTGCCAAAAATCGGATTTCGAAGCGGACCCTAATAATAAATTTAAACCCTTAATTGGCCCTTAATAAGAAAGACTATTTTTTCGATTTCAAAATCAGTTAAATTTCCTTGAAGCGGACCCTAATAATAAAGTTCAACCCTTATTAAAAGATCGCCAATATTTGCAAATCATATAGGAGGGAAAAGCTAAATGGTACGAAATTATGTCTATGTTTCCTACGGAATTAGCTGCTGAATCCAACACTTAGAACGACAGAACCGCCAAAATGCACCAAAAGGATCCAAAAGGTATAGTGTTCCAGAGATAAAAGATCGCCAATGTTTGCAACCAAGTCCGCAACCCATCACGGTGGCAAGCACGGAGATCTGCCCCACTTCGGCTGTGATTTCTTCATGGGCTTTGACGGCAGCAACCAAAGTTTCTTTGAGCTTGTGGGGAAGGTTTTGGAAGGCCTTGACTGGCTTGAGCTTCTCAGTGAAAGCAAGTGCTCTTCCTGTCTGGTCTGCTTGAGATCATTCAGGCCGTTCTTGACAGAGTCCTCGTAGTCTGCTGAGAAAATCCACTCTACACTGCGGGCACAAGAAGCTCATACTTTTTCGCAAATCATATAGGAGGGAAAAGCCAAATGGTACGAAATTATGTCTATGTTTCCTACGGAATTAGCTGCTGAATCCAACACTTCGAACATCACAACTCAGAACCCCCAAAAAGCACCAAAAGGTATACTGTTCCAGAGATAAAAGATCGGCAAGATTGGCAAATCATACGGGAGGGAAAAGCCAAATGGTACGAAATTATGTCTATGCTTCCTACGGAATTAGCTGCTGAATCCAACACTTAGAGATAAAAGATTTCACAAGCCTTTCCACTATCATCATTGACCTAGACACGTTCTAAGTGTTAAATTCCCCGGTACGTTCTAAGTGATGAATCTTGTAGTTTGAACGTTCTAAGTGGGGTGCTTAGAACGTAGACGAATAATCACTTAGAACGTCCAAAAAGCGTGAAATATTCAGATTTTTCCAAAATACGTTCTAACTGATTGTCCGTTGCTATATATATATATACACACGCATAGATTTGCATGTACAATATATATCAATATATCGGTAGGTAGATAGAAGATCTTAGGGTGGTAGTGAGGTCACTTTCAGTGGTAGCGCATATGTAGAGTATAGATGTGATATTTGTTGAACCAGTTGGAGTTGTCCATTGAAAGGCTACAGTACAGTTGGATGATAAAATCGATAATTAATCCATGATGATTCCTATCTATTAAAATGGATGATTATATATGATGATCCATGTGCTATACCATATATATATATGGTCATATAATCATACAATTAATAGTTATGTTGATGACCCCATTACCAAATTCTATCTGATTGCCATTGACTATATATAGTTATATATATATAATTATTTATTTATATTGAAATGCAGTTGTTCATCCTTCATCCAAAACCTTCGCCAACCACGACACCAAGGATTGACAGGCCGGACAGGTGGGCGAGAAGATTTCCAGGAAGATCGGAGGTCGTTCCGCCTGATTCAGGACATAGTTCAGCTTCTCCTGAGCCAATGGCGAGCCATGGGACAATGGTGGGACCTTTTGCAACACAACAGGCCGATGGTTGAAGCAGAAAAATTGGGTTTAACATCGTTTAACCAGAACTAGGATTTCATGGGGGTTACCGGCAAACATGGTGTTGTTCATCTTCAGAACTAAGGATTCACAGCAGTTGAACTTTGGCGGCTAATTTCATGTTGCATCGTTTTTAGGAAGCTGAAGGGGCCCCATGGCCAGGCCCAGTAGATGTATGGCTCGGTGGAGTTGTTGAAGATCACCTCTAGCTGTAGGGCAAACCAATATGTGGATTTTCTATATATCCAACATATCAATGGGATAATATATGATAATATGCAGTAAGTTATATATGAGCCACCGACTAAGCACTGCCCCAAGCGGCTTCGGTGTACTTCACGATGTGCTTCCCCAGCTTCACTTTCGCCACAGTCACAGGCAGTAGAGCCCAAAGGCAGAGGGCGCGGATCATGGCTGCTGACAATGACACCATGCTTAACACCCTGAAAAAGCTGTCTCTGTTTCAAGGTAAAGCTTCCCAGTCCTAGTTGCATCCCAGATTTTTTGGGGGGCATGGGATTGTATAAATTGCCAAGTCATATGTCAATCTGTTTGGGGTGGTTGCAACTCCTTGCTTTTGAGGAAAGCTTTCAATATAGAGGAGTCAAGAGAAAGCAAAAGGAACTGCTCCTCTGGCATGATCTGACACTTGTATAGACTAGTTTTGTTGAGGGTGCTGGTTCTGACAAAATCACGGTAGCACTGCGCGCTTAAAACAAGAAGGCAATGCACCAAAATCTGGTGCGCGGTAAGCTGAGAAATCTTGCGGAGTCGCCCAGGGTTCTCAGTTGTGGTTACTTGCGAGTGCACAGGTAAAGCTCAAAGTTGAAACCCAATAATTACCTTTTTTCATCTTTTTTCAGGGTACCCTCTGGTAAACTAACATAGCTGTTGAAAATGGTGATTTATAGTTGATTTACCCATTAATAATGGTGATTTTCCATAGCTATGTTAGTTTACCAGAGGGTATTTTTTTATTGAGACAATGCTGGATTGATCTGGATAGCATGGGCTCAACACTGACGGGGTAAATCCGGACTGAAAAAAATGTTCTCCGACATTCCCTAAAATCCTGAGGAAACAGAACCCGCTTACCTAACCCGCTTACCTATTCATCACATTCCAAAGGTATCTGTAATGAGTGGAAAGAAACAAAGAAAAAAAACGATGGCTTGCTTTGATCCTACGGGTGTCCGACAATGATCATGGATTGTTTCATAAGGAGAGCCGGGCTCCAAAACGCCAACGGAAACCCATTCTTGGCACTTCCCTAAATCCCCATGCAAACGCCTTGAACTCATGCTGGTTGGCGACGTAGGGCTACAGTTCCAGTAATAAGCTGTTATAAGTGGATATAACATATAAGTATAGTTACAGGGATTTACAGGGGTTGTATCCCAACTTTTGGACTTGTCAACCCGTTACTAATAACCCCAACTGCACCCCAAGTATACCACCAATCTTTACCATAGATCACAGTTCTCACACCCCCATAGATGGGCGTATTGCTCCCCATGACCCTTTTGACTTTATCCACGCAAAAAAAATGAGGTAAAAAAACACGCCCTGATTGCATGACCATCCCCAAGTTATACATATTTTCCCTTTTGGAGGTATTGCAGACAAATTTGTAAACCATACACCAAGAATATCCAAAATCAATGGAACCAATTCGTCGGTTTGCGATATTGAAAGAATGACCACTTTGCAGATGTTTGGTTGGGCATTGTGTTGGCAGCATCCCCACCAGTGGCATAACGGCACCATATTCCAATGACGTCCATCCATGGCATGTTTGCCTACAGTTTATGCTCACAATCAGCCATAGGCAAATTTGCCACCATTCACCGGTACTAGATCACACTTGCGTGCATTCCGTATTCCAGGCATCCTACGTAATTACCTCACCCAGCAGAAAATAGAAAATTACAACTTAGCTGGTCAGCACAGGTCAGTTTATCCAGAACTGTCCCGTTTTTCCAAGTTATACATCGCTTCCAGCTCAGCAAATCCAACAAGATGAACCCAAATGGTGATAGATGAAGAAAATTGTTTTATGTTCATCTTATGTTATTCATGTTCATCTAACCCACTGTAGATTAATAATGACTCATATCCACCACAAACGCAGTCAAAAAACAATACAAAAGGCTGTACACCAACTTAGCTATCATAAATCAGTTATATAAATATATACACTCCATTAAAGTCCATTAAATCTCACATTAAACCCTGAAACCACCCTATGTTTGTTGGTCAAACTCCATATCTTCCCCGTCCAAGGGACGTGCCTTGGGGCCCCCGACGGCCACGCAACAGTAGAGCCTTCACCAGGAGCTCGGCCACCGGGAAACCCAGCCTTAGCGGGGAAAGTCGATGGAAAATATGGAAAAATCATGAAAAATCGGGTTGGTGGTTTCAACCATCTTGAAAAATATGATTATTCCATATAATATGGAAGGATTATAAAAGATTATAAAAGATGTTTGAAACCACCAACCAGATTATCAAATGGTGGTTCCAAAATATTAGTCAATGGGAAGGATGACATCCCATATATTATGGAAAATAAAAGCATATAAAAGCCATGTTTGAAACCACCAACAAGAAAATCCATGGATCATCAGGTGGTTCATCACGGGAAAAATCCATGCAATCCCAAAATCAGAGAACCATCTTGGCAAACTTAAAATCATTCACGAAACTGAACAGTTCGGTGATTTTGGGCATGATTCCCTGTACGTTCACCCTCATTCCATTGATGGAGAACAGTGAGGTTGTTATAATTTACCCAGAATCATGGAAAAATATGGGATATAATTTGATATAATGGGATACATCATGGGATTTAATGGCAGTGCATGGTGTGGTGCTTACAATCATGGATTAACATTTTTTTCACCAACGATAATAAGATATATACTGGGAATGTAATAGGTGTGTAATATCATGGAAGTTTAAGCGACAATATCATTAATGGATTGACGGCTATCCCCTTTGAAGGGAATATAAACATTTTTTTAGCATGGCACAAATGGTAAAACCATGGAACATATGGGAAGATAGTGGGAAAATCATGGCTTATTTCATTGGGATGTAATATGCGGCTTCTTTCTTGGGATAGATGTAGGATTGATGGGATATATGATTTCAAACCGGTGTAGGTTGACAGCTTGTGCGATGCAAGCAATACTTGCGCGGGTTTGTCTGAAAATATCGTACCCCATTCCATCCATTGATTGATCATCATCATACCTATTGAAATGGACATTTGGGGGGATATACTCAATGGATTGGTTTAATTAAGGGAAATTCTACAGGAAACCTGCATATTACATGGAAAAATCAATGGTTTCCTGTAGATTTTCCCTTTAACCAAACCATTGATAGATGGATTTTCCATTATAAACCATCCATTTTGGGGTACCCCCATTGCAGGAAACCTTCAAATGGACATTTGGACATACCCCGTCCATTGATTGATCACCATCACCATCACCATCAACATCATCATCATCATTATCATCATCATCACCACCGTCGTCGTCGTCGTCATCATCATCATCGTCGTCGTCGTCGTCATCATCGTCGTCGTCGTCATCATCATCATCATCATCGTCATCGTCATCGTCATCATCGTCATCATCGTCATCATCGTCGTCATCGTCGTCATCATCATCATCATCCCTATTGAAATGGACATTTGGGGGGATATACCCCCATTTTCTATATGAACGGTACCCGAAGACGAATCTCGGTCTCCGCACCCATTGCGATCAATGCCGCGTGCCTCGCCGCTTCTTTGTTCAGAGGACACGGGGCGCCACGATGGGGTTTGGAAAAAATGAGGTTCCCTGTCGATTTTGAGAGTTGATAAAACAATATAAAACATGATATGGCCATAGTTCAGTGGGATGATTAAGACAAGTATACAATTATAATGTTATATATAAGAAACTTATAACCGGGCGGTCCCACTTCATTGGATTTGAAGAACCCCAAAGAAATCCAACATAAACCGTTTGCATTTAGATTCCCACTTCATGGATCCAAATGGTCGATTAACCAGCGGGAAAATAAGCCAAGTCATCTTCAGCAAATCCAGACATGGGGAAGGAGATTTGAAGCAACCACGAATTCCATGTTTGATGATACGAACGGCACGAACGTACCAATAAATCCAAGAGACATGGAGATTTGACTGGCAAAAATGGACCATGTCCAAAAAACATACGGGTTTACGTAGGAAAAATAGAACAGGGCCTGTAGAGGTCCCGAAAAGGAAGATGCCGAACACTTTGCCAGGATGGTATAGACATTCCCAGGTTTCCAACTGTTTATTGAAACCCCATGGTTGCCACAAAACAGGCGATAAATAATTGAGGAATTAATGTTAAGGAGGGACAAGACATGGGATTTTCGGAATTTGAGCTACCATGGGTTCATGGGAAAATCCCATCCCCCTGATGGATGTATTGAAACACCAAAACTAAGTGGTCCCCAGTATCTGAAAATCCTCTACATCCTCCATGGTTTCTGGGTATTTATATGGCAAATCAGGGGGAAAGGGATTGTCACCAAAACATGTACTGCAAATCATTAACAATGGGATAAGACTGGAAATATGATGGGACTACATTGAGAATTGAGATTAGATATCTGAGATATGTGTGTAACGATAGAAAAGAACTAAGGATCTAAACTCCTGCTTAATCATCAGGAACTTGGGATTTCGAAAAAGTCAAGACGTGCTTTTAAAACCAAGTTTTCGGTCGTCGCTCTCTAGGTACAAGATGGACCCCCTAGATGGCTAAGTTGGTTTAGAACTATCTTACAAAATTTATAATCATTAAAACTTGATTAGCTAAACTTATGGGGACTATGATTACAGTTCATGGGCCACATGGGTTTGATAAACCTTGTACGGATAGAACACCAAAATCAATGCACCGGCCATGGGGATCTCAGGCGGGCGCCTATTAACTTTATGGGATATGGTTGAGATGACGAGTCTCTTGAGGTTTGGGAACAGGCCTCCACTTAAAGGTGGCTCACCCGCCCAGGGAGGGAACAGGCTCGGGTTGTTGTGCCACCAAGCGATGTTTGCAACTAGGAAGCGTAGCTTTCCTTGTTGACAAGTCCGTATGCCAGAAGTGTTCTCTCGATGTTCCGCAGCCCCACCACCATCATTCAAGCTGGGGCTTTTGGATAGCACGCCAGCAATGAGAGGCAAATACCCTTCCATTGAAATCTTGTAAGCACTGTCCCCACAGAGACAGACTCACGAATGATTTCCAATCAAATCACTCCCCAGATCGTTCCTCAAACTACTTTCTCGTGGTCACTAAATAAATGCCTTCCTGAATCCAGTTGAAAATCAGGATGATGATGATGAGGATGATGATGGTGCTGCTCATGCTGATGCTCATGCTG